TTACAATGAAGTGCCTTTAGTATTATGGAGTTAAACAAGTAATCTCTGGTGCCTATATATATATATATATATATATATATATATTATAAATTAATTGATTTAAAATATGGTTATTTTCACACACAGTTCCAACCATGTTTCAAAAATAGAAGCTAAAAACCCTAATTTTATATATATATATATTGCTCTGAATTCATATCCTTTTGTAAATATCCATACTGATCACTAATATTATATATATATATATATATATATATATATATATATATATATATATATATATAGATATATTTTTAATAATCAGACAAATCCTTTTATCTTATATGGGGAATAGGCTATTTTAGCTGATGACAAAAGTGGTCATCTGTCTTTTCAACTCCAGTGTGGAATGAAGTTCATATCTGTAAGGTTAGAGGAAGTAGTAGGCATTAACTGTGAGGAATTGATATTGGAAGCTAAAGGGTCAACTTAAACCTTAACTTGCCAAAAGCATCTAATACAGAGTTTACACTTTTCACTGTTTCAGTTGGGCACTAGGCAGGGGTCAAGGAGGGTAGTAGGTATCTATCTTGAAGGGGGAGAGGGGTTTATTAAAGAAAGCCCAGAATATTAACCTTGTGATGACAAATGGGGGTATTAGAAGAAAATACAAGTTTTTAACTTAAATTTAAAATTAAAGAAGAAATTAAGAAGGAACCCAAAAATAATTTTAAAAGAATATATATATTAGGTTGGTGCAAAAATATTGTCGTTTTTGACGTTAAGTTGAACATCAAAAAATGACAATATTTTTGCACCAACCTAATATATATATATATATATATATATATATCTCACACACACACACACACACACACATACATACGCACAGTGTAATTGTTGTTATTTTATATTTTTAATTTCATGCATGCACATTGTTTTTTTGATTTTATCGACTACACAGTATAGTAGGGTCAGTTGTGAGAAAAAGAAGTACCATGATGTAATTCACTCTGCCAGAAATTTGCAAACGGCATGTTGTACTGCTTGGCATCCATGCCAGAAGCCCCAATATGAACATTTCAGAATGTTTGGGTACCAATCTGAGGACAGTGCAGAGAATTCAGAAAGAGTTGGATGAGTTTAATGATGATTACGAATGTACGGTAGTTCAGAAAACTAACTCTGATCATTCTGAACACCCAAATTTGTTGGTGAGGGCTTCAGACTCAACCCAGAGGCCTATGTCAAGTGCCTTGAGGAGGTCAAGAGGGTGGCTGCTGGAAGACCCTATGTCTGGCAACAGGACTGCACCATGCCACACAAGCAGGAGAACCCAGTCATCACTGTGAGACAATTTCTGTGACCACATCAACCCTTACATCTAATCACCTAACTCCTTGATTATTATGTGTGAGGCACAGTTGAGCAAAAGACCAACAAAGCTCCTTGTAACAGCAGAGATGAACGGCAAGGATTATAGCAGCATTTGCCAACTTAAACAAGGAGAACATCAAGAAGAATTGCAAGAAATTCTGAAGTTGTCTGGAGGCCATGGTTGAAGCCAATGGCAATTTTATTAAATAAATTTACTGTTTAATATTTCAAGATATTTTTGTGTAATTTTGGTAAATATATCTGTTAAAATGAGATGTCAGTATTATTTTCATTTCTGCATAATTTAGACGACAATTTATCCATCGCACCCGGTATATCTAAGTTTAACAGACATATAAAGACAAGCTAAAGAATAACCTCTCATCTGTCAATGTGCCTCATACTAACTTTGAGAGCGAGTTGCTCTTGATAGAAATAACTGGAGATATTTGTGCCTGAGTGGTAGCAGAAATTTTGAAATTGTTGTATTGACTGGCTAAGAGACGAAAGACAATGGCAAAAAGCATGAGCAAATATTCCTCTTGCTATGTCAAAGATCCTTGCTGCTGAACAATATGTGGTTGAGGGCTTCAGACTCAACCCAGAGGCCTACGTCAAGTGCCTTGAGAAGGTCAATAGGATGGCTGCTGGAAGACCATATGTCTGGCAACAGGACTGCACCATGCTACACAAGCAGGAGAACCCAGTCATGGCTGTCAGACAATGCAGGTCACTAACAGGACTGAAGTCTGACAGAAGACAAATATAAAAACGGAATGAGGTTGTTGGATTCTTATATGTCAAAATTGATAGAAGAGTCCATCATGTCTAACAGATACCTCAACATCTCATATAAGATGCAGGAGATACATTTTTATTTAATTTTGGGGTTGAAAGCAGAGTGGGTTTTATATGCCATTAAATTTGGGAGTTTTAGAATTCAAAAAAAAAAAAAAAAAAAAAATTTCAAATTTTCTTCAGTTCCAGTTGAAAAAAAATAGCAGATTTAATTAGAAAGAAGAGGGACTATATATATATATATATATATATATATATATATATATATATATATATATATATATATATAAAATCTTTATCCCATGATTAGGAAAAAAATATTTGCAACAGAAATTTGTTTAAGATTTTTTGTTTTGAAAAATTAAAAAAAGCAAGACTTCATCTGTTTATTACCAGACAAAGTTTAGATATTATTATTATTATTTTTAATATTACAAATTATTTTCAGACTTGAACTGAGTACCACATGTAATGATATAATTTTTTCTCTTTAGAAGACTATGGTATATCTTAGCAAATAAAAGATTCAAAGTAAAAAAAAATCGATGATTGAATAGGATTTTACAATCAACCAGAACAAGAAAATAAAATCACACAAATTAAGAACAAAACAAAAAAAAAGGTGACTAAATAAAACATATGTCAAAATCACATACACCAGTGGTATATATTTGTAACTTTGAGTTAGAAAGAATTTTTAAAATAGAATCCAATAAAATTTTGTTGAGTATTGGATTTGTATGATATGACCACCCTCCTTTTCACTCTTCTGACATTTCAAGATATGACCATTCTTATTTTGACTCTTATGACATTTCAATTTGTCATTTCACATGAATACAATGAAAAGGCTTAATTTATTTGGTTCTAAAATATTTTATGCTGCAATGTTAGTTTTTGATCAATTTTCGAAATAAAATATAAGAAACTCATTATCAAATCATATTGATAAAATTTTTCAGGTGTCTTATATACTGAATTATGATGTGGCGTTTGTGTTTCTGCTGAGGAGTGATATACCACTGGCATAGAGTTCTTGCATGTTAATACAAAGACATTATGACCAAAGGAAAAGAAATATTTAGAAATAAAACAGAGCATCCCAAGCAGGAGATGAAGATAATTACATAAAAAATTATATAAATTGATTGCTATAGTTATACAAACAAAGAAAGATAAAAGATGTGATATCTTTTTCTTGGCCTCATATTCCAAAAACACTAAAAACACAACTTTGTAAAAGAACATACAAAAACACTTTTATAATAATCTGAGCAAAAAATAATAATAGAAATAAAAAGCTAGCAATTCTAATTAAGAATATACTAAAATATTTAGTGGGGAGCTATGTTAGTTTACAAAACCATATATACCATTTGAGAGACTTACCAATGACAAAATTGTATCCAAAGTAGTTTTTCTGCTTTTATTTAGAAAAAAAAAGAAGTTTTTTTTATATTTGTATTTACCAACAGCAATAAGACAATTTCTAAACATTTTTCTTTTAAATATTAAACTAGGAATAGACATCTACATCTTTTGGCATTGTTAATTTTATAGTCTAGTGGTTATTTACAAGGTTAACTTAGTCTGGCACAAGGTGACAAGTGTGAGGCACCCAATGATGGTCAAACACACTTTGCAATAGTAATGGTCTGCTAGACTATTTCATTAACCATAACTGCATAACAAAGTACTCTACAGCTTTATAACTTTATTGACAGCGATGGGTACGTTTGAAGTGTAGAATTAATAGTTAAATGTGTAGGTAGTGTTATAATTATTGACGTGGAAAGTTAAATTGGTGAGCTGAGTTCAAATTCTTTCAAGGTCTGTTGCATTTACATTTGCACTAATGCCCTTGCAAAAGGCATAAATCTGTTTTACCAGTTATGGGTTAAATAGTAAGGTAAACTGAGCTCTCTAGCTTTGGCTGGTGGCCAGTCTTGATGAAGGACAACTCCGAGTTTAATACAATGGAGAAAGTAATGAGAAACCACTAGACTTTCTTTCCCACAAAGTCATGGCCTATGTCCTGAGGAATACAGCATTGATAAAAGAAAAAATAGGCTAAAATTTAAACTCTTTATCTATCGATCCATTGACTGCGGTGAAGATCATAGATTCATTGTGAACACTATGATCCTTTCATTAGCTGCATAGTGCATGCTTCACCAGGGCTACATATGGTTTTAAATTCAGAGTTGTCCTTCACCTAGGCTGGTTGCCAACCATGGCTAGAAAACGCAGTCTGATTTGCTATTTAATGTATAGCTGTGAAAAAATGAGAGATTTGTGCCTTTCCCCAGGGCATTTGTGTGAAAGGGAATATAACAAACCTAACTGGAATTAGAACGCTGCTCTCTGATTTCTCATTTTGAGCCACTATTCATTACACCACCTGCATATACTAGGTTTAAAATAATTATTGTAAAATAATAAGTTGAAGTACCAATCTCATTACCACATTATCCAGCACAATAGTTTCTAACAAATGCATTTTTAGAATATGAGGCAGGGTTAAACAAAATAAAATGATTTCCACTTTTGGTTAAAAGAGACAATAGTTGAGGAACAAGAACACAAAAAGTCAGTGATACAAGTCTATAGTTAACTTTTGGGATTGCTGCACAGTTATCAGGATCCATCAGCAGCTAGTTGTCGTGTTTTGCCCCCACAATAAAAAAAAAAAAAAAATAAAATGTTCATTATCACCATCATCATCATATTTTGTTTTGGAAGAACAGGAGGAGGGAGGAGTAAAAAAAAAAAAAAAAAAAGTCACCACATTTTTTTTTAATATATATTTACAAGGATGACGCCACCATCAGGCATAATCAAACACGTCATCTATCACAGCTTTGACATAATGCAGTCTGTCCCTTTATGTAATCACGACAGGGACACAAACGCATCAAAGGAGACTTGCTGCCTGCACAACTAAATAAACGTTCATCCATCTGAAGAATACATTCAGATATAGTTGGGTTGAAAGCTGGATAATAAATGTCTACAATAGCTTTCTTTGTTGCACATTTGGTAGTATTATTTTTAAGTGACTCTGCTTTGTTAATGTCTTCAAAGTAAGATGGCTCACATATTTGATCTGAAAAGGAAGAAGAAACAAAAATTAAATATTAGAATATGTGGAAATTTCATAGTGTATCTCTAAAATTTAAAGAAAGGACAGTTTACATTTTAATACAAAATAAAAAAAAAATTATTTTTAAATAATAGCTTGATCATTTCCAAATTTCTATACAGAACGTTCTCAGGTTATGTCAGACCTGACATACGGCATTTCATGGTTATGGTGCTATCTCTTATAATATAATACGCCATAATGTGGCACTTTCGGATGAAGATGGCTGTTGTTTCTTCACCAGCTGTAAGTCATATTGGATTGTGCTACATTCGCTATCTCATTTGTGTTTTTTTTTAATATTTTGCCCTTCATTATGACTCCCAAGCATAAGGCAGACTCGTGAGTGCTTATGTAGGGGAGTTCCGATGTATGTCAAAAATCAGGTTATGTTGCACCATAGGAATGGAACTCCGACATAAGTCAAGAACCCCCTGTATCTTCATCTGTCAAAATTAACAATGACTGGTAATTTGGTTGATTTTACAACTTGTCAGACCTTGTTAAGTTACATAATGAAAGTCGTTTTCATTTTTTTATTTTTATATCTGAGTCTAAAGAATTTACTTGGAAAAGATAAATGTTGGTTGTTTGTATATGAGTATATAACTACTTGGTTTAGGAAAATATGAAATAAAATCGATAATTAATATAATAATAATGAATAATAAAAAAAAAACAAGAAAGAAATATATTTTCTCTTGATGCCATGAGTAAAGGAACTAGAAATATGATTACTCCACTTGGTTTTGTCAAAAGCCATTAGGTGATGCTGCTTAAATCTATAAAAAGAAAAACATTTTCCTTCCTGGTTTTCTTTCTCCAAGATGCAATACTACACAATAATTATGTTCCTGCTGGGAAATGTTAGTTTTCCCGGTCAACTAACGTCTAAACTCTCTTTCCACTTTCCAACAATAGCGTTCAGACATGCCTCGCAGCTCTACTCATGAAGTAATTTGCTTGTTCCAACTCAGCACAATGCTGGCTTGAACTTGACCATTTTAACTCTTCTTATCCTTACTTACCATAACTTCTGGACCAAAAAAGAAAACAGATATACCCAAGAAACATTCAGAACTTTCTTTCGCTACAGTCATCATAAAAAAAATAAAGATAAATGGTCTGTAGTTTGTATGCTGCTTCTTTGTTTATCGTATCTGAACACACACACACAACCTTTAACATCAATAAAATAGCAAGAATTATGAAAAATTAGAAACAGACGCACAGACTAATTAAACTTTAGTTCTATGCTCTAACAAAAGAAAATTCTATAAGTGAAACAGATTTAAAAAAATAAGCTTGCATGTAAAAAAAGGTTTGTTTATTGCCCGGTTCACACTCCTTCCTGGTTTTTTGAACAGGAGTAGAGGTTTATCCCTTGTTTCCTGTTTAGGATTGGTTTTCCAGTTTCTTCTAAAGTCTACTCCCATTTTTTTTCTAATGTCTCCACCTAAACTCTAAAAGTTTATTTTTTCATTTTTTTTTCTTTAATAGTAGATAGGTTTGCTTTGACTCCCAATAACCCATTGCATCTTAGTGGCATCAACACCTTGCTTGGGGTGAATTGATTAAAAACAACAAAAAAAAAAAAAAAAAAACAAGAAAAAGTCTCCAAATCTTATTCATAATATTAGAAAGTGTGAATCTTAAAAATAAAGATTTGCAGTTAATATTTATATATTTTTTATAATTTATTTTTCATGGTATTCAAATTTTGATTAAACAATATACATTTTATAATTACCATACCAAATATATTTTCATGAAACTTATAATTTGCTTGACTCAATTGATTGTAAGATTTAAATAGGCATTAACACATTTCAGTGGTCAGGAATTAATACAAATGCGAATAGGGATATTATATTGATAATCATTTCTATATTAACAACTGAAAGGTATGTAACCTTTTATAAATTTTTAAAAAATTGTTCATCAAAATATTCTTAATTTTTGGATGAGTTATTTTTAAAAATCTGAGAATGGCAATTAAGACAGGCACCAAAAATAAGACATACAGAATTAACAATTGATTGATTGATTAGTTTTTTTACAGGTTATCAAACCCTTTGGGAGTTGTTTAAAGCCAAAACATATTTTGGATTGTAAGAATAATTATTTTTTTGTGAGTGAATATTGCATTAATAATTTTTCTTTTTGAATAACAATGGTTTTTCAGATACCACTTAATCCATAACTTGGGGGGATATGGATTTATACTGTTACCAAGAGTATTTGTATGTAATGAACCCAACTTGAATTCAAACTGCTTTCCAATTTCTTATTCCAAGCCACTACCCATTACACCATCCACAGATCTAAAGAATTAGTAAAAATAATAAAAATAATGTTTTATCTATGAAACGGTTTTGTTCATCTGCTAAAAACTAAGCCAATAAAGAATATTTTGTTCAGTGAATGTTATTTATTTCAGTTCAACTTACCTTTTTCCCAGCAAACATCATTGCAAGACTTGTCAGATTCTCCAAGAAAGACTTGGATAGAATTTGCTGGAGGCCATTTTTTTGCTGTCTTCTGGAATGAACAGAAATTCTGTCCTTCTAAGTAGGCATTCATTCTTTGTAACATTCCTTCTTCTGTAAATTCATATGGCATATAAGATTCAAACTAGAAAAAAAATTAAAAGAAATTATTTTTTTTCAATTATAAAAATTATCAAAATATCAAAACATTTGAAAAGGTATGAAAAGAGAAATTTGCCTACATAAAAAAAACTATCCCATGAGTATCTTTTAGATTTTATGAATTAAAACTTATATAAAAGATAAAGCAAGTATTTTGCAATAAGTTAATTTAAATATTACAAGCATTTATAAAGATGTTCACCATTTCAGACACTGTAGTTTATAGCACTTCATACATATGAAGAACACTCAGAATACTCTAAATCTTTATTAAACAAGTAAAGTATTAAACAATAAAACTAGTGTTGACCAACTGGTATCAGTAAAATTTTCAGTGTATGCTTATATATATATATATATATATATATATATATATATATATATATGTGTTTGTGTGTGTGTGAGCCAGGTTTTATTATTCAAAGTGCAGCATAAAGTTAAAGTCTCTCATTTATAAAAATAATGGACACATATTTGATTAACACAATCAATCATATATATATATATATATATATATATATATATAAATGTAAATGAATATAGATCCGACAGAATGAAGAAAAATTTGGAAAAAACAAACAAAAATCCTTAAATGCAATTATGTTGTTTAAAAATGAATGAAATGTCGACGTCTGACGTTTCGGTTTCAGGAAAATATTCATTAAAATACAATTCAGTTCAATTTGACAAAGACGATGGACATAAAAAAACAAGTCTTATCCAAAACAGATAACTGAAAATTTTAAAATGATCAGCTTTCTGTTTAGCATGGTCACGTTGTAGTCACATATATAAATACAAATAATATCAATGCTATATTCAGTACCTCAACTCTAGAGCTTCATAGGTTAACTTTTTATAAATGTTCAATTCACTCTTCAAGAAGTTTCCGCAATTAACCAGGACATTTACATATACATACTAATATATATATATTATATATACACATACTCTCACACACCACAGACACACACATATATATATATATATATATATATATATTGGTCACCTGAAGATCACAGTAGATTAAAACTTTAGTGGTCTGAACTTCATCTCTTTCCAAGTTGTAATGCTGGGAAGCATAATTGCTCTGTCTTGGTAACCTTGGCATAGAGTATTGTTTGTTACTATTTAGGTAGGTGCCTGGCTTTTGTTTTTTTCTCGAGTTTATGTTTCTTTTTATAATTTCCTTGTTTTTTTTTCATGATTTTTTGTTATTTATAGTTAGTTTTATTAAGTTTCCTTTCAATCATATAAGACTTCTCTTTGGCTGTATCAACATTTGGGATTTTTGTGGGTATATATGTTAGAATAAATCATTATTTTATTACTTTACATGATAATATGGGCTCCTTGACATTCTATAACCTTCATCAGTCTTTCATTCATTGACTTTGTTAATTTTTTTCAACTCTTTCAAATTTAACATTTCTTGAAGCAATTTTTATTGTTTCCCAGGGATCTTCTTTGCTTAAATATTGTTTTCTATTTTCATCTTCATGGGCAGAGAGGATCCCCAAATGAGGCTATGTTGAAGGGCAGAGTCTCATCTCAGGAAACAGCTACCTGACCCCATTTTATATAGGGTCTACAGGGAATTTTTGGCTCAGCCTATGAGCTTGGATACCCCACATTAAATTCAGCCTTGTGCCACATCTGGCCATGTGGAGCGGTTGGTAGATATCCTGCAGTTAGAGATTCATTGTGGAATTCACTTGACTCACTTCTAGAATTTGACTACTTCTTCTACATGGAGCTGGCAAATCTTATGTGTGTTGTTCTTGTCCTAAGTATTATCATTCATTACTAATCTTTATGTGTTTATTCTATTCAGTAACCTTCCCTAGGTTACAACACTTTTCATTTTTAATATTGTAAAAAGAACCCAATAAATAAATCTGATGATGATGATAAGCACAGAACAACAAATGAGTTGATCTGAACAAGAACATATCTGATGAGATGTTTACTTAAAAGTGGTAACTTGTTTGCTTTCATGTCTTTATCCGCTCTTAATATTCTGTACCGGTTTTTCTCTTTCACAAGAAAAAATTCTTAAGATATTTTCTTGTTGGTCAATCTACTTTTCTTCATTCTTGCCCTTTTAACTTTTCTCAAATGTCTTTTTGCAACATGCTTAAATGCAGTTATCTTTCTTGCTACTGTTTTCAACTTCTTTTTTGAACTTTAAATTTTTTTTTTTGCAATTTCCAAAGTTGTCTTTCCATCATTCAATAACTTTATAATATCTTGTTTTTCTTTTTGAGATTCATATCTTTTTTTTTTACAAACCATTGCAATCTTTTATTTTAATTTTTAAAAACAATATTATTGTTTTAATATTTCAAGTAAAAAATATAACAATGAATAGACACCAAAAACTAGTAATTAAAAATAAAATTGCAAAGTCAATTTTTTAATTACTTACACAACTTCTGGTGTCATTATATCATATAATAATTAATGGAGTCTCATGAAGTATTACAAATTTGATGTAACAACTGTTTTTTCAGAAAAGAATATAAGAAATTATCTTGAAATATTTTACTATTTCCTTATAAAGAACTATACCAAATAACAAGCCACATCACTTGTGGACTACCAACAGCAACTACAACTAAAATGGATAGCATATGTAAGTCAAAGAGAAAATAATGGCGTAATCAAGATATTAACATTCCACACCACTTCAAATAGAAGGTCTGGAAGGAAATCCCCATCAATATTGTAAAGAGTGACAAAAAGCTACTGGACTTTAGAAAGCTGATTTCTTAAAAAAGTATTTTAAGAGTAAGATTTTATAAATTTCAACTAGAAGCAGTACTGTCTGCTCGGTCAATGAATGTCAAATGTTTCCTTGTATGTAAACGGCTAATATTAACATTATCTGTCCTGTATATAGATAGAAAAAAAGAAAAAAGTTATTCAAGGGCAATAACTAAGAAATCCTAAACAAAATAGAGTTATTCCCCTTACTAATGATGTCTCTAGCGAAGTATTTCAGCTAATTGCAATAAAATTCTTACCTTATTTGAATTAATAATCTCTTTCAGCACCGAGCTTAAATTTTCCAAGTTATCAATATTTACAGTATATACGTAAGGTTTGCCAATATATCGCTCAGCATATGGATGTTGGCTTGTCAACTGAAAAGAGTAAGTTTAATGAAAATACACATTTCAATCATTAATATAAAATTATTAATTTTTTTTTTTATTCACTGGAATCTAAGTACATATTAAAAAGACAAAATTAAATAAGATCTCTCGTGAAATAAAATTAAAAAGCGATAAATGTTAATGTTTACTTTTACAAAAAGGATTTCAACTTCTCAGTTGCATCTGTGATTTATTTACCAGAAGAAATGTTGATATTATCTTTTTATAATAATTCTCTTTAAAATTGAAAGAATATTCTAACAGAAGTTTAAGCTAATGAATATGTACAAGAAAATTTGCTACATGATTTATATTTTGTATACACCTTCCAAATAACTATTTAACAATTTGGGACAAAGTTTTTAGAAATTTTTTTACCCTCACATTAGAATTTCAGTAAACATGGACAAACATGCCCACAATAAAACAGTGTCAAAAGATGGTTTTCCCTTGATGCCACTTTTTTAACAATCTTTGCTCTTCAGTCTTCAGCAATGTTTGTTTTAAAAAGTGATGATTAGAATTGTAATAAAACCTAAACATCTGAAAGTGAATTTATACATTTTCTTTGTTCTTGGGAATTGACAACAAAAATAATAAACACTATTTATTAGATTGTATAATACATGATTATTTATTAGAATGTTTGGCAAAACATCGGATAATTGCCAACTGATTCAAACTTTATAAAATAGTAATTAATAAGGACTTACTTATAGTTGGTTCATATATTTTATATAATTTAGTAAATGTTTATAAAAAGAAAATGTTTTCACATTTATTCCTTTATAATTGGTAAGTGATAAAAATTGCATTGCATTAGGTTTTACAATGTTGTAAATATAAAATTATTCTTTTAAATAAACAATCTAATAAATAAATAAATAGTGTTTAATATTTTTGTTATAAATTCCCCTCCCCCGCCAAAAAATGTATAAATTCACTTTCATCATATGTTTAGGTTTTATTTCAATTCTAATCATCACTTTTTAAAACAATAAACATTGCTGAAGCATGAAGGTAGTTAAAAAAGTAGTGTCATGGGAAAAAAAACGTCCTTTTGTCTTATTGTGGGCATATTTGCCATAATTTCTTTGAAAAATCATAGTATTACTTTTTTCTTTTTTGAGATTTTTATACCTCATCAATGCCAATGTGGTGATTGATTAATGAAAAAAGTATGTTTTATAATATTATTTATGAATAATTGTACAATGGACTTAGATGTGTGTTCAGTATTCTTTGTATATTTGATTACATTATTGGGTTGGGCATGTCACACATGCATCTGTGTAAGAAAATAGTCCAAGTGTAATGCTACAGTCAGTGTGTGATATATCAGTGAAATATCACATTTGTTATTTTAAAACAGAAATTTCTAGAGAAGTATCTTTGCTAGTTACTCCAATACAGAAATTACTTGTAAGGTATTTTGGTAGCCACTTAAGAAAAGAGTAATTTTTCATCAGTTGGGAACAGTTGGTTTAAACATAGAATAATAATTGATGATGAACTCATAACTATTAATTCTATATTACTGCATTAAAAAATAAAACAATATTACTCAAATATAAGATGATTAAACTGTTCAGATTGACAAGTATCTTAATTTTAGTCACTTCTGGTTCAGGTCAGCAGAAACAAAGTCAATTTAACTTACCTTTCTGGATGTTGGTTTACCTTTAAAAAAAGGTGTATTTTTGCTACTGTGTGGGGGATTGAATTTTGGATTAATAAATACACAACCATTGGCAATGGCTTCTAAGGGAGCAGGACCTTCATAAGGAAAACCTAAGCCAATGAATATCTGCAAATGAAGAGAACAAAATAAAAATAAAGAAATTATAAAATTATTAAAAGTTGTGATTTTTATATGCATTGCTTTTCAAATCCTCTCATAAATCCTTTTTGTTGTTCTGGTTTGAACTCATTGAAATTTGGAGCATCAATTTAAGAAATCTAGCAAAAAGAAGATCAAAGATTTCCCATTCATGTCATATAAAGAAAACAGAATATGAGAATTGTGCAGTGTCAATCCTTAATAGAGCATGAATAAATAAAATAAAGATTCTTTAGAAATTAAATTGAGAATATATTTGTGAAACATTTCAAATAATTCAAAGGCCTTTTTGGCTCTATTATATTTTTACACCAATGTTTTATTTGGTCAAATCTCTTGTAGCCTTTGTACAATAAATATGGCATCTAGTGAACAATTTTAAATAGATCCATTTAAGACCAAAAACAAACAAAAAAAAAACTGAATAATATTTTTTTGAAGTTTCAAAATGCATATAAAAGATTTACTGATAGAATAGAAAATCGAATCTGTAGCATAATGATGAAAATTTTGTTTGTGGGTGGGTTTGTTACTGTAAGACATAATATTTAGCACAACATAGCAATATTTTCATTAGCAAAATACTTTTAAAGTACTTTCAGTTAAAGAATAAGGCCATTTCAGTTCAATTTTCTATTTAATAATAGCAAGGTGTCAAATTTCAGGTTTACCATGACAATTCTTATAAAAGTTGGAAAAAAAAAAAAAAATATAATATTGGAAGAGGAAAAGAAATGAGAAGATTACTCATTGATGCATGAAATAATGATGTGTCTATTTTGTTGAAACATTTTTCAGTACATATGAATGTAGACAAAAAGAAAGTTCAAAAGACTTATCTATCCAATTTCAAGTTTCAGATACACCATTTGTCAGGGTTAGATAAATCTACAGAAATCTACTTGCAAAACTTGAAGTTGGATAGATAGTTTTTTTTGTTTTTTTTTAATTCTTCTTTATTAAATATTGTTGCTCAATTTTTTTTATATTGACCACTTCATACATAAAAACATATCTGCTTGCCTTCAAATTCATTAAACTCCAGTAATTTACTGGACTATACAATTTTGATAAGCATTAATGATCTGTGTTTTATATATATATATATATATATATATATATATAGATACACCTAGTGAGCCAGACAAACCTACCTAGGTTTCACCTAAACGGATCGTCAGGGAAAGTTTGGCTAACGAGGCAAAGAGAAACACATATTTATAGGTGATAGCTAAAATCATACCACGTGATAAAAACAAAAATCAAAAAACAAAAACAACCTAAGTGGGGAGGGGGATGTAAATGTAAATATTTATTCAACAAAAAAAAAAAAAAAAAAAAAATCCTCAGTGGAAAGTCAATAACGGGAAAACGTCTAATTTAGTAGCCAAGATTTTTTATGTCTACATACATTGAGAATTTCAGTTTTAGAGTTTAATAGCTGGTTAGGTTGATCATATAAAGCTATGGCTAATTTCTCCTCAGCACATAATTTGCAAAATTTATGGCCTGCTTTATATTTTTTTGGGCATTTTTTTTAATATTTCCCATTTAAGGATGGGGTCTATATTATCTTCTTGTTTGGTTTTCCATACGTAGGTAGATAGCGTGGTACTATGTTTCATTTTTGCATTCTTATAACTACTCGTGTGGTTATAATATCTTTGTTTAAATTTATCCTGAGTAGCACCTATGTATGTTTTAGGGTTAGTATCCTCAGTATTTTTGTAAATTTTCACTTGATACACCACGCATTCTTGCTGGCATTTTCCCTGTAATGGACAGATGTTTTTGTTTCTACAATTACAAGTAGGAGGATTACTACGTGGATCATTCCTAGTTTTTTTCTTATTCAATCCATTTATAATAGTCCCTACGTTCGGCATACAACAATAACTAAATTTTACATTGTTTTTGTTAAATATTTTATGTAACTCAGTTTTTTTTGGGAAATGTTGCTCCAGTAAATTAAAAAATATCTTACCTATTTTAGTTTTTACTGCTAAATTGAAAGGTGGATTAAACCACAAAATTTTTCTTTGCCTATTATGTTTATTCCGAGTAATGTTGTGGTTGTCTATATATTCTAATTTATTTTTATGTCCACTCTTAATTAGGGCTTGCTCATAACTTATTTTGTTGGCCTCAAAAAATGTCTATAATTAGTAGAAAGTCTATATCAATATTTTTAGAAATATGCCTTATAATATGGGCTGGGTGATTTGATTTTTTTGTGTAAATACTGGGGTTCTTGATTTTCTTTTTTTTATACGGGGATATTGTGCCATTTTGTAAATTCAACGTAATATCTAGATAGTTGGTAATTTTCAAATTGGTTTCTATATCGAGATAAAATCCGAATTTTTTAAAAAACCAGTGCAGTTTTTTTACGAATGTTGTCACATTTTTTTAGGGTTACTATTGTCCACTATGATTAAACCGTCGTCGCGGTACAACCCATGGTTATTAAAGTCTATATATTCGTTAAGCCTATGGAACAGCAGGCACCCTAGTATCTCGCACACCTCTGCCCCATCAAACGCTTCCATAGGGTTGTCAAAACCGTTAATATTCTCTTTTTTTATCCATAAAGTATTATCATGAAATAGCAATGTATTTCTACAATGTCTAATTAGATTTATTTTAACATCAGAAATTTGGATGTATTCTTTAGCTAAGCTAAGGGCTTCGTTTAGCGTTTTCTCTGAAATAGACGGATAATACTCCTTAATATCATACCTAATAAATGAGCACTTTTTATTTTTATTGTAATTTTCAAACCATTTAATGCAATCCTTAGTAGACTGCCATTGGTTAATATTAAGGAAAGTTCTAAGGGATTTACATATATCCTGCAGAACTATTTTACTTATTTTGCCTAATTCCGTCTTAGTAGGGTTTATAAGTCTATATTCCGGATTATTAATAAAGTTACTTTTATGATCTTTTATGGTGATAAAGCAAGTGTTTAGGTTTATTTTTTCAACTCGATTTCCTAATTCAAATTTATTAATTAGGATGCTAGCCTCATTGTTAATTTTAGTCTCTATGTTATTAGGAGCTTTTATATAATGTTTTATTACCTCCTTATGTAGTATTTTTTTGTAATTATTGGGGCTCATTTTGTATAAGAATTTAGATTTATCAGCTTTTACGTAAATATTCTTGTCTTCCTTTATTTCTTTTGTATTTTTAGCAATTTGTTGTTGCATGTTATTATTCCTTATTTTCCTTTTATTTATCTAGGTCTGCTCTACGGTTGTATTGAGCTCTTTTGTTAGTTAGTTGTTACTCGTATCGGGGTTTTTTCTTTGGGCTTCAGACCTGCATCTGTGCGATTTTTTTGTCGGCAGAAGTTCATGTTTGTAGCTCTTTCTTTTTTTTTAAAACCTTTTTTTCCCCTCGAGATTGATTTGATTAGCAAATCAAAAATTCGAGGGTTTTTCGAAACGAGTCTAGTTATCTATATTTATATATATATGTGTGGAATAATGATGTATAAATTTTTATAAATCAAGAACGGTTCAGTTTTTGAAAGAAAACATCTATGACAAATTGGAAAACGTCCTAACAATGAAATGTGTCACAAAAACTTTTCAATTTGTCATACATCTTTCCTGTATATTTTGCTACATGTGTTCCGGATCTTCTGACCTTCATCAGGCCAAAAATGGTTATTTCCACATATTATTTAAAGAAATTAATTTTTTCTTTCTATGTTAAGTCTTTTAACCATTGTCTTTTGTGTGTAGTAGTAGTCAGCTGAATCCATTTTGTACTGGCTGAAAGATGTTACTTTGTTTTATACAATTAAATTTGGTCAGAGAAAAGGAAAGAAAGGTCTTTGTTCTTTTCTTTTATGTCCCTGTGTATCCCTTCATTTCCTCCTCTATTCTTGTGTGTGTGTGTGTGCATATATATATATATATATATATATATATATATATATATATATATATATATATATATATATATATATTCTTTTTCATACATATATATTGTATTATTACAAGGAAATAGTGTGTGTGTGTGTACACACACTTTGTATGGTGTGTAGGATTTGGGTGCGTGTGGTCCATCTAGTGTGTTTGTTTTTGCCAGTATGTGTCCATATATTCATTCTCCATATATATATTATTGTTAGGAAACATATATAGTGACTACATGCATTTTGTATGTGTGTTTGGTCCAACTAATGTGTTTACCACTATGACTGTATGGTGTGTGTGGTGGGTTGATTTGTTTAGTGCTGATTTAAATTTGCCTATGAAGTTTTTTTTTGTATTTAGAGGTATGAGTAATCATCTGTTTGATATATATATATATATATATATATATATATATATATATATATATATATATATAAATATACATTTTTATTCCCTTTTGTTAATCTAGTAATTCATTTAAATTTGTAAAATCTAGGTACCTAGATTTTACAAATTTAAATGAATTACTAGATTATTAGTAATAATTAATGAATTATTAGAATTACTAGTAATTCATTTAAATTTGTAAAATCTAGGTACCTAGATTTTACAAAGTTAAATGAATTACTAGATTAGCTGCAAAGTTTCATCATCTTACAGCTGAAAGGGATAGATATAACTGTATCTTCTATGCTAACAGTTTCTTCTCTTGTACTTATCGCTTGTGGAACTCTTCCAGATTCTTGCTTTTCACTCAACTTTGATCTTCAAAAATTTTATTGCAATGTCAATTGTTACCTTCTGTCTTCTTAATTCCTGTTTTTTTATTGTTCTCTCTCCTTAGTAATATTTTCTTTTTCTCATATTCTCTCGTCCTTGCGTTTTAGTGGCTTTAGCCTTACTTGGGGGTAAAATGGTTAAAAAAATGTCTGATTTATATATGGTCAGTATTAGGAAATATATACTTATTGTCTTATATTTTTTTATCAAGAGATAATAAAAAATTGAAAGGAAAGACAAAAGCAAAAAAATGTCCAAGATACAAACCTTTGATTCCCGAAGTAAACTATGCAGCTCTTCCCCTTTCAATAAGCCATGGTTTTTTACGTAGGGTGGAATGAAATGACTACGATTTTGTTTCGACTCCAAATAAACGGTGCCATGAACCTCAGCATATTCATTCACTACATTTAAATATCTTGTCTTTCCCTGAAAGAAGACAAAAGAATTAAACATTCAAACAAAAAGCACAGATATTGAAATTTTATACCCTTTATTTTTTTTATTGATTGATTCATTTTTTTAAGCTGGTTATTTAAAAAGCCAGAAAATATCTTTACATTGTAAGAATTGTTTTTTTTTTTTTGTACATAATGATTTGGTGGAACAAGTCTTACTAATTAACCCATAGCTGGGGGAAGATGTGGATTCATACTTAATCAGAATTTGATGAACAAACAAGAAATTATAATATGGATATAAAGTGGAGGATCAATTCTATATTACAATCAGTATATAAACTGATCCCTTACTTTGTGGCCACTGTAGTTTCTATACATTATATTCCAGAGAATGTAAATAAATCTAAAAGACATGCCTGTGTAGCTAATCCGTATTTGATTGATTTATTTTCTACACCTTATCAACCCATTCCAGGTTATCTAAAGCCATAAAATATTTACATAAATTTTGTTTTTTTTTGGTTAATGTTTTTAGTGATAAAAGTCTTACTAATTAACCCATAACTGAGGGGGAGAAAAGTGAATGTAATGACCCCAAATGGAATTGGAAAGGAATTCCGATTAATAATTCTGAGCCATTATCAATTACACCACCTGCACATCCAAGTTTAAAACACCTGGCATTTCCAAGCAGTCACCCATCTAGGTACTAACCAGGTTTGACATTGCTTAACTTTGTTTCAACATGATATGGCTATAAGCCTGTATCCTTTATTTTAAATTCCATGTCCATTCAGGATGTAAGCTATCATAGATCTCCAAATTTTCCTTTTCTTTATTATCAGTTTAAAATTTCTTGCAAGGAAAGATAGTGGAATAGTTTCTCATTGACTTCTCCATGAATTCAGAATTGTCTTTGTTCTAGACTGGCTGTCATCCAAGGCTAGAGAATCTAATCTATCTTGTTATTTAACCTATAGTTTGGAAGATGAAAAAATGTGTTCATGCCTTGCAAAAGGGTGTTACATTGATGACATCTACATCAACGAAACCTTAGTACCTGCTTCACAAGTGAGAAAGCATCTTGCTGACTTTGTGCTCGAATGTAAGAACCCAGAATGACTGGAGGATGGTGCTCGTGTGCTCGGCTTGCAGGTCTGGGGGAGCACAACATGCTTTACTGGAAACGTGGAAGTGAGCTCCCGGACATTCCCAAACACATGACCCGACGCAGCATGTTTTCGTTATGTGGAAAGCTGGTGGGACATTTTCCCGTGGGCGGGTGGATTCGCATTGCAACTGCATTTATTAAATGTAGGGTGACTGCTGTCACTTCCGGCTGGGATGACACAACAAATGATGCTCCCCTTAGACACATGATAGCGGAAGTCATTACTAGGGTGCGTCAAGACGACCCCATACGTGGTAAATGGTGCGTTGATGGATGTGAATTTAACGTCTGGGTCGACGCGAGCTCCCTTGCAACAAGAGTGTCTCTTGAAGTAGGTGAAACTGTCGTGGAAGATGCGTGTTGGTTGCGTCCCGAGAAGGATACACAACATATCAACCTGTCAGAATTAGATGCTGTTATCAGGGGAGTCACTGCGGCCCTTCAATGGAATGCAAAGGTATTGCATTTATTCACGGATTCCGCATGCGTGTATAAGTGGATAGCAGACACTCTTACAGGGAAGGCTAGGATACGTACAAAGTCTGCGAGCGAGATGCTCATTCGAAGGCAGCTAGACACACTGGGAAAGTTGGTAATTGAATACCACTTATCCGTAGACATACAGCTGGTCAGATCACAGCAGAACAAGGCCGATACTTTAACAAGGGTACCCCAAAAATGGCTTGACGCTATTAAGAAAGAGGTAGAGCCGTTAGGACATGTCTGTGTAACATCAGCAAGCAACCATAACTCAGATTTACTAAAATCTGTGCATTGCCAAAGCGGACATCCTGGTGTAAAACGGACTCTATATTTCGTGAGGCAGATTTATCCCTCCGTATCCAAAGCTGCTGTCAGGGCAGTGGTCAGAGGATACAAGGAGTGTCAATCCATTGACCCAGCACCTGTGCAATGGCAAAAAGGACAAGTGAGTGTAAGCAAGGTGTGGCACCGTGTTGGAATGGACATCACCCATTATAACGGACATCACTATTTAACCCTGATTGATTTTGGCCCAACCCGGTTCACTATTTGGCAGCGTCTGCGTTGACAGGATTCCGCAAGCGTCATTGACCACTTGGAGTCATTGTTCTTTGAATGTGGACCTCCGACGGAACTCCTCACTGACAACGACACTGCATTCCGCAGTGGACTATTCAAAGATTTTGTGGATTCGTAGGAGTACCCTCAGATTTTGCTAGCGCGATGTCCCATCAGGGAATGGCATAATCGGCGATGTCATCGGAGCATCAAAAAATCGCTGCTAGGAAGCAGTGTTCCATAATGGAGGCGGTGTATTGGTACAATGTTACTCCGAGAGACAATAATGTATCGCCCTCAACTGCACCAGCCAACATGATTTATCAGTACAAAGTCCGGCTACGAGGCATTGACGCAACGTGTTCAACTGAACGGATAAACGAACATGCGCCGTATGACTTGGGCGATCACGTGTGGGTGAAAGCTCCACATAGCCGGTGTACAACCCGGTACCGGGTGGGGCATGTCACTGGACTAAGTAACTCGTGCTCTGTGCTGGTTGATGGCATACCAAGACACATAAAGGACTTGCGTCGCTATGTAGGTACAGATACGTCAACAAAGGACACTAGCAGTGAGTGCTCAGAAAGTGAACAAATAATTACTATTGGAGGTAGGGCTAGCACCTCTTCAGATGGTGAAGACTGTGCGTGAGGTTGTCAGACCAGAAGAATCCTCAGAAGAAGAATCTTCAGAACATTCTTCAGATGATGAAGACTCTGCGCATGAGGTTGTCAGATCAGAAGAAACCTCAGAACATAACACACAATCTCCTCCAACAGTCGCCTCATCCGGAGAAGCTTAAGAATAAAGAGGCCGCACATGAGAGTGTCACTTATGTGACAGGGGGAGTGTAGTGAAAGTAATAATCAGGTACCCTGGAAAAAAGTTCGTGTTTTGTGTGCGATCTGCCGAAGAAGGAAAATTCGGGCATTTTTGGCTATGGCGTTTGCTGGGAGAGTGACTTATTTTCCTGACTGGTTACACACATTGTGAAAGTAATCTGTGACAAATTTGCTTTGAGAACGCTTACACTTACAGTAGGAAATATAATAAAATTTAACAAGGCAATATTTTTGTGTGTTTCTATATAACAATTGACTGATTAACAAAGGAGAGAAAATACACTAGTATGCATCCAAATATAACTGAAATGTATTAGAAATTGTGTGTGTTTGTTAGAGTTCAATCACTAAGGGGAAAGATATCCCCATGCTGGAGAGACAAGCATTGTGTTGGTGTTATTTCTACTACATTCTAAAAAGAAAAAAGAAAGAAAACAGGAACTGTCCCATTTTTATAGCTGTTTAACAGTATCACCTAACAGCGTCTTGACAAATCTGGCAAAGCCATGTGGAGGTAACTCACAGTATATATTCTAGAATATTGAAGGATATATTTGAATGTCTATGCTCTCTTTGATGAATAAATCACCATTGACGGAAGAAAAAAAAAAGATTTTGGACAGGATTTATTATATGAGGATTACTTCCACTTTCTCTGCTAGTACATCACTAGTTGGCACTGTTTAAAGACTATAAAAGAATGACCATAACTATTTTTCTTTCCCTCTGGCATGTAGCAGTGATAACAACAGGACTCTTTCCTACCAGGGAGACACTTCCTGGATAGTAAACTTCTTAATTTCAAACTGATATGTCCCGAAAAGGAACATATTTGTTCGAAGTGGTTTTGGACTACTGTAACCGAGTAGGACAATCTAGCAGGTAACTGTAATGGACTGGTCCTTGTCGTAGTGGTAGGCAATAGGTGAAAACTATAGGTGTAGCCAATAGGCATCATCTCTGTACCTCCACATCAGTCTGTATTTATGGCTGACAGCAGCCAATCATATTACTGTGAGGGGGAACCCAGGTGTATACATATTCATTACATCACAAACAAACCCCATAGACATCACACACACACACACACACACACTATGAGTAATTTTATTTCCATTTTTTTCAACTATCTGAATATACATAAATATAACTTTCTTTTGTGAGCTTACGTTGTTCTATATAAATGTATAAGATTCAGCCATGTGTTTAATCTGTTTCTTGTGAACATTTTGAAATCTATTCATTTTGAAAATGCCGAATTGGTTTCTTTTGAAATGTTTCCACCTCAACAATGCCCATTACAAACTATAGCTTCAGCATTGCTACAATTATATTTAAGTTGAATAAATGGTTAGAACCCAACCCAATTTTTACTCTCACCCTAGATAATAGACATGACAGTAAAGGTGGCAGAAGGACGTCGACAGTTAGTAGTAACCCAAATGTCCAACAGTTTCTTTTTTCATGATTAAAAAAAGAAGAAAAAAAAGAAGAAAAAAAAAAAAAAAAAAAGAGAAAAAGAAAAAAAAGAAAAAAAAAGAAAAAAAAAGAAGAGAAAAAAAAAGAAAAAAAATTAAAAAAAGAAGAAAAAAAACAAAAAAAAAAAGAGAGAAAAAAAGAACAAAAAAAAGAAGAAAAAAAGAAAAAAAAAAAAAGAAAAAAAAAAACAAAAAAAAAAACAAAAAAAAGAACAAAAAAAAGAAGAGAAAAAAAGAAGAGAAAAAAAGAACAAAAAAAAGAAGAGAAAAAAGAACAAAAAAAAGAAGAGAAAAAAAAGAACAAAAAAAAGAACAAAAAAAGAAGAAAAAAAAAGAACAAAAAAGGAAGAAAAAAAAAGAACAAAAAAAGAAGAAAAAAAAAAGAACAAAAAAAAGAACAAAAAATAACCAAAAAAAAAACAAAACAAAAAAAAACAAAAAACATTTACCTTCCACATCGCTTCATTTTTGCCATAAACAACTGCTTGATTCTTTTTCACAACATTTGGTAACACTGCATCTTTCAAATGTTGTTCAACAACAAATCCCATAAAGGAATTGTCAGGTGTATGGGCTAAGAAAAGCAAAAAAAAGTTACAAAAATAATTAAAATATCAAAAAAGGAACTGAGAGTAAACATTTCATCAACAGATAAAATTAAAATTACAAATACTAACTTTAGTCAAAATTTAGTTCTTTATCTTTATTAATCTTTGTTTAGCATTGCACAAGGACAAAAGCAGGGAGCTTGAAATTATCTTCCAATAGGAGAACATTTGGTCAACTTGAAAATTAACACTCAAAATTCTGATTTTTACCTGTTCTCAAACACGGGCCATTGGTACTGAAGATATAGAACATGGCTCTGTGGCAGGCCAGCAGAATTTTATTTTTATGAATGAAATAATAAATTTTGTAAAATTCAAACCTTCCTTAAGCTGTGACACTTAGAATAAAAACCTACTGATTTTTTTTTTTTTATATCATTTTATTGATAGTGTCAAATTGATTGCTGACTTTTACAGAACTGACTGGTCCACATGTTAAAAATATGGAAAATAGGTGGTGGGGGATAATTATTGTAGACTAGTATTTATTGGACCATCATCAAGCAACAACATTTGTCATAATAAAAAGAATATTATTTTCTTATCAATTTAGAAGCAATGTTTTTTTCCTAATATAAATACTGTCACATATTGATCTCTAACTTTTACAGAGTTATTGAACTAGTTGTTATTTACATATTTCAAGTTTGAAACATCATTGATATGTGTATTTATTTTTAATGAATTTTATAAGAGTCTTTAACTTTTTTTTTTTTGGAGGGTCCAAAGCACATACACACATATTGAGGGTAAGGTAAAGTATTGTTTACGGGCACATCAATCTTATGGGTCATTTCATGCTGAATTACAAACATTGAAGAATAGATATTTATCTTTAATGAAGAATAAATATATATATACTTTTATTAATTGAGGTAAATTTTTGTCCTTTAATTAAAAATGTATATATCTGTATGTTTATTTAAAAGAAAACTTTTTGCAAAAAGAAAAAAAAAGAAAAGAAAAAAAGAAAAGAAAAAAAAGAAAAGAAAAAAAAGAAAAAAAAAAAAAAAAAAAAAAAAGAAAAAAAAAAAGAAAAAAAAAAAAAAAAAAAAAAAAAAAAAAAAAAAAAAAAAAAAAAAAAAAGAAAAAAAAGAAAAGAAAAAAGAAAAGAAAAAAAAGAAAAGAAAAAAAAGAAAAGAAAAAAAAAAAAAAAAAAAAAAAAAAAAAAAAAAGAAAAAAAAGAAAAGAAAAGAAAAAAAGGAAAAGAAAAAAAGGAAAAGAAAAGAAAAAAGGAAAAAAAAAGGAAAAGAAAAGAAAAAAGGAAAAAAAAAGAAGGAAAGAATAAAAAAGAAAAGAAAAAAAGTGTCTTTGTATACAAAATTGCTAAAGCCAGAAAACTAAAATGTGAGGGAATGATTTAACACTGTATCAATATTATGAACAGGATACCCCCCACACTCTTCTAAAATGGTAAAAAAGATCAATATTTTTAAATTCTGACAAGTGTCATAGCTTAAGAAATGTCTAATGAATGCTAATCTAGAAAAATTATTTCCAAAAATCTTTTCCTTATTTATTACAAGTGGACTACACTATTTAAGTTGTACCAATTTTATTGATAAATTAATAAATTATGCATTGACTTTCATTTGTTTCACTTCATGCAACACTCTTTGATTAATGGTTCCAAGATACCCCCCAAATCCTCAAAGAATTCTTCAAAATTGTTCTTTTTATGACAGAACATAATTTACCTGAAAGGTAATGGGAATTCATAGAAAGCTAAGGAAAATATTTTAAAAATTGAATATTGATGCTATAAAGTTATAAAAGTTACAAAAATTACTGGAAACTTTTGCATCAATAATTTAAAAAAATAAAATCAGTGAAATTTTTGAGAGTACAAACTGATTTGACTTTATGGTGTTGTACCATGATACTCTAGACTTTAATAGTTACCAGTTCCCTACTGACAATAACTAATTTACTTTAATCATTTAAAACGCACAGCAATTTATAGAATATCCATTTTTGAAAGTTTATAAATATATTCACAATATGCTCAAGAAAAAAAAAAAAACCTTTTTCAAATTTAATATTTGCAGCAACTTTAAACAAGATTAAAGAAAGTGCATGCTTACGGAACATAGTAAAAAACTGCTGAGGATGGAGATCCTGTCCACCCCAGGTGGTCAGTAGTTTGTTTCGTCGTGCAAAATCACGATGATTATAAGCAGGTTCAGTTCCAAAGGAATCAACAATTCTTAACAAACAACTAGAAAGAAAAGAAATAAAAATATAAGATTTAAATAAATGTGCTCATGAGATCATTCCATAAATAACTTAAATATTTTTTATATAATCTGTGATATCATGGGTAGGATTTCTGGAACAAATAGAAATTTTCGTTTACTTTAATGATTATTAATATGGAAGCAGTAAAAAAAAAAGAAACACAAAAGAATTTGTCCCAACTATATACAGTATTTAGAATAAAAACTGAAAATATTTTACATCATGATAGTCAAATATACAACTGTGTGTGAGGAGGGGAAAATTTTTTCCTTGTGATTATTAAAAATGACACATACATACAATTATATCAGATCAAAGTATTGTCACTTTTAATTTGGTTAATTACATAAGTACAAATTTTATTATTTAAAATTTCGATTAAATAATGATGGAAAAAAGCATATATCAATAGGCATTCTTGTCTAATATCATATATAAAACAATCTGTTTATGTTGCCAAGTGATACTGCAGGTATAATTTAATAAATCCTACCTGTGATATCACTGTTACTGATAATTACAAATATAGCAACACTGTAAATTCTGATGGTAGGAATAAAAAGGAAGCAATCACAATTATATTTTATTACTGATTGCATTTGAACTCAGTATATATAAACTTTTTTTACTATTCCCACTGACATTACTGCTACTCCCCCATTTAGTTTTAATTATTTTCTTTTTTACAAATATTAAATGTAACAGTATGGGAAAAATTGATAAAATAAATAATGAAGATTGGCTTAAAATTTATTTTAGAAAGATTCTCCAGTCTGTATGCTTTAAACTAAACATCAGGCAAAAAGAGATTGTCAGTGGTCAAAAATTAATGCCAGTGTTACTGAGAGAATAGATCAAGTCAGGGCCAGTGCAAGAGTCTCTTGAGCCTCCCACCCATAATCTATGATATACCCCCCCAATGTACTAGATCTCAATTTTCATGAGGTAATGATGTAATGGAATAGCCTGTCACCCCCATTAGTAAAGTATCGGTAAGTCAATGGAATACAGAGTCTAGCTGGAATCACTTGAGAACGACTCAGACTTATGTGAGAACTACCAACCTTCCAATAGTAGCACTCACTACTGGATTGACTTGCGTCAACCTTGTGCATACCTGTTACCTTTATTCTTATTGTACTGGTTTTTACAATAAATCTTTACTTATTTATCCATGTTGTTCAAGTATATATTCCTATTAGCATGGAATATAACAGGTAATATTCATATAAAATATATATTTTATTGTAGCCGAATTATGAACAATAATGGACCATATGCAATAGGTGAACAATTCAACTAGAAAAATTGAAAATAAATTCAATGTATTTAAATACGAATTAGAAACCTGTCATAATAGTAAGTCAATAATGTTTTATGTCAATTTTTAACATCAACTTTAGATTTTTCCTGTTAAAAAGTTGAATAATTTTAACACATTCAACATCATACTTATTATAAAACCCAGGTTGTGTGTGTGTGTCTCTGTACGTTTATATATTGGATCAGATTTCCTACATTTTTCAACCGATTTCAACAAAACTTCACAGGACTACGTAAAATTACCTTGCGGTGGTCCTGACAGCGCCAAAAATTGGAAAAGTACAATTGTTTTTGCATGAAATCAATTTGAAAACAATTAAGAGGCATCACTTTTGAATGAAAGGGGACAACTCATATCGAATTTATACTTATAAAAAACCAGGTTGTTTGTGTGCATGTATTCGTTTATATATGGGATCGGATTTCTTACATTTTTCAACCGATTTCAACAAAACTTCACTTTTTTTTTTTTAGGTAGTGTTTCTTATTGTCTTGCACACTTTTTTTTTTTATTTTTATATTCAGAATGCTTTAAAAATTCCACTTACAAGACAATTGTTTATAATAAAATTCTATTCAATCGGTAGACTCATAACGATTAAAAACAATGTTTTTGTTTGAGTTTGACCAATTCCTAAAAAAAAAAAAAAAAACTAATTAAGACATGCGTGTCCGTCAGCCTTAAGCAATAATCTTTGTCAATTTTATTTTTCAGTCTTTATGATAGTTGATACTTGATCTATCTCTTACTGTTTCATCCCCGAGCAACGCTGGGCTCTACTGCTAGTTATGAATAAAAAATAGTGAATTTTATATAGTGTTTTTTGAGAAAGCATGGGCAAAACAAATTCATGGATTTGATAAAAAAATACAAAAAAAATACAGAAAAAAGACACCAGAATATCATCAAAATCTGCAAAAATTATTCATCCTTTAATAGTCAGTTGTGCTTAGTTTAATTTCTAGCATACATAAATCTAGGTAGAAAAAAGCAAATGCTGAGAAGATAGTGAGGGTCACAAAGCGATACCTGGATAAAAAGGTGTAAATCAGAAAACCAATATGAGAGTAAATGTTTTTAAAACAGGATACAGAAATCCTATTTTAAAAACATATATTGTCGACATGGAAAACACATGGATAAACCAAAAAACATAAATCTGTTACTTTCAACCCCTTCTGAAAGATTGTATGAGAATTTGCCTTGGATTCATTTAAAAAAAAAAAAAAAAAAAAAAAAAGACTACATGAATTTCTTGCTTTCGAGCCATTCTGAAAATGAGATGAGGATTTGTCTTTAATTCAATACAAAAAAAAAGCTGTAAAAATATATTAATAACTTTTGATATAACTAAGAATTATACAGAAAAGACAATAAATCTTCATGGCTTTTTCAAAAGTCACTCATTTTCTTTTTTCTTTAATTACAAGAAATGCCAGCTCAGGGAAAAAGAATTAAGAAAAGATTCATTATTTAAGCATACATACAGATACACATTTTTTTCTTTCAATTTTGGATCTGATGAAGCCTTGAATGGTAAAACACATAATCAAATCCATTTTTAATGAAATGTTTTCCATTTGTCAAATTTCTTAAAGTGTATATATATATATATATATATATATATATATATATATATATATGTGTAAAAGATACTCACCTGAATTTCCCATATCCACCTTTTACATGTTTCTTGAATTGTCTCAATCCTACTAAGTCTGTGTAAATGATATCAACAGGTAAATCTTTTCTAGCTTGGCATGGGGATAACACAGATGGCAGTTTGGACAGAATGCTAGAATGAAAAAAAAAAAAGATTTAATAGTTTAACTCATATTTTGAACTATGAATCATTGCACAACCCTGACCACTAAAATTTTAAGCTTTTCAAGTCTAAGGTCAATTGTTATTTTTCATACTTATCCTTATAATCTGTACTTCATACTTTCTTCTCTTACATTTCTGAAACAACCAATTTAATTTAACCCTCTACATTGAGTGGCTCTTTGGTCTTGTATTGGGTGATCAATTAGTAAAAAAAGAAAAGCAATCAATCATTAGTCATTCTGTTTAACCTGTAGATAATCATTGGTCATTCTATTTAACAAATACTTTATGATGGAGTACTGAAAAGTCCTTGGTTTCAGCAAGAAGGGATTCCCCTATAAAAAGAAGTTCTGATGTTTGGCCTGGTGGTCATATTTTGGGAAGGAATCATACTGAAACTTTTTCAGCACCCCCTTATATAAAAATGATTAGAATTCGCCCCATCTCTCTCCCCCACCTCGTCTTTCCCTCCCTCTTATTCTAACATTAGATTGTCTATGGTGTGTGTATGTCACCACGAAATGTATCTTTATGCATTAGACATCCAGCAACATTCATTTTTCTCTTACTTAAACCCCCTCCACCCATCTCTCCTAAAATTCTCTCTGTTAAGGTTTATTCTCCCTCCTCCTCATACTTACACTCTCTCTAAATTCTGTTTTTATTTCCGGAATTATTTTTTCTGTTTTCTTTTTGAATTTGTAGGTCTGATGAATTGGATCGTATTTACAATTCCAATGGAATAAATTATGACCATTTAATATTAGTGTTTAAGCCTTTTTATTATATATATATATATATATATATATATATATATATATATGTGTGTGTGTGTGTGTGTGTGTGCATGTATTTGCCTGCATGCTTTTTTGTCGCCTTGTATTTATTAAGCTTATAACTATAATAAAAACTTTCAAAATCATTTTAAATTGCACAGTGCTCTGGTTTATGAAAAATCATATATACAGATTCATAAAAAAAAAAAAAATTTACATCTTGAGACAAAGATATTAAGATGTTAACAAAGTAATTACATATTTCACTGCCATGAATTATGAGACAACCGAACAAGGCCAAATGGTAGGAAACTGTGTCTTAAATTAGTTCATCATCTCTTCTATCTGACAGTGTAGTGTATTTCAGAGTCTGAAAAAATTTGCAGAGGGAATTTAGGTTCCTCACCAACATTCAAATGAGAATCAAGCAAAACATTCTACCACCTGCAACAGCTTAGGAATGAAAACTTTTCAGTTTTGCTATTGCTTTATTACAGGTGATGAAAAATGGGTTTTGCATGTCAACAGTAAATGAAAAAAGACTGTGAAAAACAAGTGTCAACATCAAAACCAGGGCTCTATACACTGAAGTTCTTGCTTTGTATCTGGTGAAATAGGAAAGGTGTAATATATTACAACTTATATGAAAGGAGAACCACTGCAGGCATTTATTGCCAGCAATTTCATGAGATAAATAAAGCAGGACACTGAAACTATTGTTCTTTGGTAAATAGAAAAGGTTTTATTGTTAATGATGACAATGCAAGGATACAATCTACAGGAGAAATCCAAAAGAAGTAAGATTGTCGGGACAGACAGCTCTTCAACATGCTGTATAGTCATTAAATTTAGTAACTACAGATTTTCATTTGTTTTGGTTACTAAAATATTTCATAAGTGGCAAAACATTTAGAAACAAAGAAGTTGAAAACTATCTTTTTTTTTTTTTGAAAAACCCAGATTTCTTTGAACATGGAGTTGAAAATGAAAAGGATTACAGTTTTGGTAAATAATATTTAAATAAATTTAACTTAAGATTTATTTTTATATTTTTGTTCTGGTAAAATATAATTACTTTATGACCACTCTGATATTTTTGTGTCCTGTCATACTGGTGAAATAAACCAGCTGCTCCAATACAAATCATTGCTTTCACAGCATTCACCACCATTTACAAATTATTCTGAATTACTATTGTTTAAGTAAGAAAACCCAGAACAAAGAAATTTCTTGCCAGATATCTCATCACTTGCTCTGAATTGGTTAAACATTCTTGACATAGGTAAAGTTTTGATTTCCAAACAGAAGCAAGATAACAGAAAGTAATTGTTTGAATGAGCTTTCCTCTTTGGTACCTCAACTGCTCTAATTTAAGTGCAGTACTTGATTGGTAGTTAGGTCTTATAATTTCACCATTGAAATTTCTAGAAGTAACTGTAAGTTCTATTCTAATAGTTTTTTCACAGACACTCATCACTTGTGAAACTTCTGGATTCTTGCTTCCCTGTCAACTACAATCTTCAAAAATTTTAAATGAAATATCAATCATCATTTTTTCTTTGAATCCTGTTCTTTTATTGTCCTCCTTGTTTCTTTCACACTCAGTAACCCTTTGCTTCTTAGTAGATTTTGTCACCTATACTTGGTGAAATGATTAAAAAATAAATAAAAAGATTACCCAGTTAGTTGTTCTAGTTCACTTGTTATAGTGATGTTGTGACCCAACAGGTATAAACAAGAGATCAAGTCACTCCATTGAACTAATTCACCAAGTGGACCACCTGTAAAATGAAAACAGAAACAATAAAAATAGTTATAACTTTGCCCATGAATATATTTAGTTTCATGCTATCTTAATTTGACTGCCAGAGGTCAATTACAAAATTTGACTTTAAACACCGACGTAATAATAGCCAACTTAGGCAATAAAAATTTTTTGAGTTACTTTATAGCTTCAAATGAAGTCTTAACATTGTTTTTATATTAAAAGGTATCACTGCAAATAAACTTGTTGGCTCAAGATAACTCACAATCAGCATCATTTATGTATGTATATTAACCATGTAGGCCCCCACTGAGGAATAAAGGTCCACAGCCTAACCATGCTAAATGGGTTCCATAACAAATCAGTTTTTATAGGGTGGATATAAGTAAATAGATACTAGCTACTTATATTTAAAAAAAAAAAAAAAAAAAAAAAAAAAAAAAACAAACAAAAAAACTTTGTAATAAATGCAAAGCCAAGGCCTACTCACTCCTCTTGGAGGAACCATACTGATTGAACAGGTCTTTAGGGGTATAACCATACACACCACTCTTGGCCAATTGCAAGTTGGGGAGGCTATTTAATGCAGAGTTGTCCTTCTCCTAGACTGGTTGCCAACCAAGGCTTTAGGATCCAGTCTGCCCTGCTATGGATTCATATCTTTTCCAAGGGTATTTGAACGTAAGTGAATATAATTATGTCACAATACTCTTTGCCTATGTCACAACACTCACCAGTTCTATGAAACTCACTAGTTATCTCTATCTACCCTGATGATGATTTAAGAAAGTTAAAAGGTTGGACCATATTTCTTGCACTTTTCCTCTGTAATGAACTTCAGACAATTTCTGATGGAATTTCTTCCTTGTCCAAGAAGGATTATTTATAGTTTGTAAAATAATATCCGAAAAATTAATATTAGCCTTGAAGAAAATTTGCTGCTTAAATACACAAAATTTAAGTATATTTAAGACTATTTTGACAGTTATAAAAACTTACATGAAAATGTTTGTTAGAATACAGAATTTTTCTATAGACAATGCAAATACAATACCAAATATTAAACACTGGATGAATTTTATGATTTATGGTGATGAAAAAAAACCAATGCAATCAATAATTTTAGGCAAGTGATTTATTTAAAACTAAATTTGCTACATGGCTGAGTAAATGTTATATCACATCATGCTTTATTGTTAACTTTATGTTGTTTCATAAAATAATTACAGATCTGAAGTTCTCCCATTAAGAAAATTATTATAGTATAACTCAACAAGAAAGCTAGACTGAAAATGGTTTGAACTTTATTTAAACAAATATTTTCAGTATTCACTGGACTTTCACAGTAGAAAGGCTCTTTTTAGCTACATGATGCAAGACCAAGAGTATATAAAAATGTTATATTCAGTGCTAATAGGAATATATACTTGACATACACGGTGGATAAAATAAGTAAAGGTTTATTGTAAAAAACCAATACAATAAGATAAGGTAACAGTTATGCACAATGTCGTCTCAAGTCAATCCAATAGTGAGTACTACTATTGGAAGGTCAGTAGTTCTCGTGTAAGTCTTGTGTTGAGTCATACTCAACAGATCCTAGCTAGACTCTGTAGTCTGTTCACTTACAGATACTTATAGGTAGCTACTACCTATAGTGTAGTCACTCATGGGGGTGAGAGGTTATTCCATTACATCAAAAAATAATTATCTTATTAAAGAAAAAAACAGAATGCATTTTTCACATTTTTCTAGTTGAATTTTGCAGTTGTTAATACAATAAGAAAAATTTAAAAAAAAACAAACAAATAAATGTTCAATACCATGCACTGGATTAGAATTCTGATCTTTTGTTACAGCTAAGACAATCACCTAAAGATGCAAATAAATGCTAACTACATCAGACAAACAGCCTAATGAGCCACATAACAAAACTCATCATCTGAATTCTGATGAATATTGCATGAAGCAGAATTATAACAGAAATAAAAACATTGTAATTTCATTAAATGCACTGGAACAAGTAATGCAAAATTTATGCTCAAATTGTTATCAGAAAGAGCAATACAAATGCAAAAAGATGTATACCTATGTTTTATAGATTATGCAAAAGTGTTTGATAAAGTATATCACAAAAAAACTGTTTGAACTGCTAGGTAAGTTTTATTTATTTAGGAAGGATAATCCAGATTTATATTGGAAGTAAAGCACCTGCATATGGATAGAAAATGAATTCAGTAAATATACAAAAATAGAAAGGAGCCTAAGGTATCGTCTCCCTAGATTTATTCAAACTTTACAGTGAAGCAATCCTGAAAGAACAAGAAGTTCAACAAGGATTCATTATTAACAGCCACAATCTCAACATTAAATATGTAGATAACATAGTGTTAGCAGAAAGGAAACTACAGGAACTCTGATTGAAGATAGTAAAGGAAAGCAAGAAGAAAGAACTAAACATCATTGTAAGAAGACAGAATTTATGTTTGTCAGCAAATCAGACAGGTCAAGATGCAAACTATGAATTGGAGATACCAAAATTAAACAAGTACAAACATTTAAATATCTAGGAAGTGTTTAAACAGAGGATGGAAAATGCAACACTAAAATTCAATTGCAACTTGGAATAACAAAAATGCCTGCCAAAAGCTAAAAAAGGTATTAACAGGAAAATTTCATTAGAAACAAAGAAAATTTTACTGAACATTGGTCTTCCTATATGGAAGTGAATGCTGGACAATCTCTTCACAGATGAAAAAGAAATGTGGTTCTACAGAAGGATGCTGAGAAAAAAAAATGTGGTTCTACAGAAGGATGCTGAGAATACTGAAGAGATGAGCAATGACAAAGTTTTAGAGAAAATGGAAATCAAAAGGACATTTATACATAGCATCAGAAAGAAACAGTTGAAGTTCCTAGGAGACATAATGAAGAAAGAGAGCTTGGAAAATTTTACACTCACAGGGCATATTAAAGATAAGAGGAAAGCAATGAATGACATACCTAATGAACTTGTGTAAAAGAAATTAGAAGAGATAGCAAAAAGACAAATTTTACTAAGTGTTACAAAAGACAGGAAATTGTGGAGAGTCATGATTGCTCATGTCCTGGAGGGATATGGCATATAGAAGACGATGATCACTAGTTAAACATATGATTACATCCCTTGAATTAGTTTCCATGTTTGAAAATTTTATTTAATAATTGTAACAAAAATATGAAAACGATAATTTAGTAAAATCAGTTTTTTAAATTTATAATTACAGTTACTCATTATCTATTTAAATTTTCACGTTTTAGAGACACTGCATTATATTAGTTAGTTTGCATTTTTAGAATGTTGTAAATATAAAAATTATTTTTGTAAATAAACATTCTAATAAATAAAGTGTTTAATATTTTTGTCATAAATTCTCAAAGAACAAGAAAAAAATGTATAAATCCACTTTCAAACATTGCCAAAGGAGTCAAATAATAGCAGTGTCAAGGGAAAAACTATTCTTTTGACATACCATTTTATTGCGGGGACAAAAAGTTAAAGATTGCCAAAATTTAAACTATAAAAAGGTTATTTATTGTTACTAAGAAAATATTAAGTTGAAAATTATATAAATAGTTTAATGGCAGTTGATAACACAGACAAAATTATAAAAGGAAAAAAACAATAACATAAGCCAGCCAACACCATATTTAAACAAACCACATAAATTAATCAAATATTAAATCTGGTTTTATTTAAATTATTTTTTATCTTTAAATATCAATGTACAAATTTTTACCTTTAAATTGCATTTCAGCAAATTTCCAACCTGTTTGCTTGGTAAGTAAACCCAAATGTATCAGAACCTGAAAAATAAATTATTATTATAAGCAAAATATTTCACAGAAAATGATGCATAGTCAAGTAATGTGCTTAAATTTATAAAGTCTAGGTAAGACTTTATAAATTTAAGCACATTACTTGACTAGTGGCAAGGTCACATCAATTCACAGTTGAATTGGTTAGATGTAACCGTAATTTCTATGCTAACAGTTTCTTTTCTCACACTTCTTGCTTGTGGAATTCTCTTCCGGTTCTATGCTTTCCAGCCAACTTTGATCTTCAAACATTTTAATGCAATGTCAATTGTTATCTACTGTCTTCTTGATTACTCTTTATTGTTTTTGCTCCTTAATAATGTTTTTCTTTTTTTCTTATTCTTTCACACACAAATCCCTTGTGACTTAGTAGCTTTACTGCCTTGCATGGGGTGATATGATTAAAAAAAAAAATCGTCTGTTAGTGATATAAAAATGAAGCATCTTCTTTCGAGTGCTCTCACTGGTCAAAAATTAGAAATGTGACAATTCAAATTTTGATGTCCATGGAGCAATATTTACATGGTGACTGTCATATTTATGTCTAAAGTAACCATCACACCAAGTGTTCTTGCACAAAAATATAACTTCATTTTTGTAGGAAAAATACAGGTTTGTTACAAATGTGCATATGGTCATATCAATGCATTTATAGACCAAAACCTATAAGATAATTGCATGAAATGAGCACATGGTTTGGTAATGTCAGAAACAGTCTATGAAAGGTGAAACCAATGAGGGTGAAGGAGTCAATATTTTTTAAAGAAAATATTATAGTAAAAAAATAAAATAAAATAAAATAGACTTACTCGTTTCTTGGGCCGTTTGTCCATATTTTGTTTTCTGACAAGACTATTGACTGCTTCTATCCACTTGGGCCACATTCGACGAATCCTCATGCGCATAAAAGCATATCCCTGCCTTTCATTAGGGTCTATCAACAAATTCATCAAATGATCAATACTGTTGGAAATATTGGCCTAGTAAAAAAAAAATAAAAAAAATAAAATCTAAAAATAATAATATCCATAATTCAATGGGGTGGTGGCACTTGTTAATTTCCCAGTTCTGGGCAAAAAGTGAACTCTCAAACTGAGGTGAAAACATGAAAGTATAAAAATACATTAGAAAAATTACTAGCAATACATTTTCATAGTAAAAGAATGAAAAATTTACCAGCAATACATTATTGGAAAAAATATCAAAACTCACAAGAAAATAAAATTTTGGCATTTTGTTTGACAGTATATCAACTCCTTATGGGTCATAAAGAGTTGATATACTGTTAAACAAACAAACCAAACCATAATTCAATAATCTGCAAATATCTGTCAGCCATTTTCTAATATTTTGACAAGCCATTAAATCATACAATTTCTTTTCTCTATTATGTTAAATTAATGATGGATGATCTATCACATTTTATGGTATATATAACACAAAAACATTTGAGACTTTAATATTGATAATTGCTTTAAAAATAATTTGGAAGATATTATTTTTAAATTCTAGAATAATGGGACCTAAGTGTATTTTTGTTAACTGAGAGATTAACAAAGACATCTACTCCAGAAATTGAATTCAGTATCTGCACACCAAATAAAATAGATATTTAACATTATAATAAATAAAAATTCATTAGTATTGTGAAAACACCGTCTTTAAAATATTCCTTACTTTTCAGTACTCTACTTATTGCATTTTTATTTTTTAGTGAGAAATATTTCCTTTTATTTGTAGTCTTCACCTATTATAAACAAATTTGTCCATTTATCTCTTTACAATATAGTCATATAAATATTTTATAGCAAAAACTTTTATAATAAAGGGATACTAGAGTTTTATATATAATAAATAAGATATATCTTCATTGTGTTTAACATACCTCTCTGTTTGTACAGTGCATGCACACCAACATACTAATATCTTATTAATTCATTTCCTTATTTACACTATTGACATTGTTCAGACTGTTGTCCTCATCTTTTTTATTGTCATATTCACAACATTTTGGTCATTGTATGCTCCGATCTTCTTCAGGTGATATATGTTGGAATTTTGAACAAAACCCTCTATTTCATCCACTGGGGTAAATTGTTCTAGTTCCACATGCCATGCCTTTTCTTGATATCTCAGTTTCAGTTATTTCCCTATTTAGTAACTCAACTCTCCAAGTTCACCTCTGCTGTGGCCAGGTATTGAACTCACAACTCTTTGGGTCAAGTCACTGGATTACTTCAACCAATGCTTTTATCCTTTGAGCCATGTGTTAGAAAATGGTTGATAGTCATTTGCAGATTATTAAATTATAGTTTGTTTATTTTGCTTGATGGCATATCAAAGTAAATAGTGTAAATAGATACAAAACTTCATCTCAGAAATATAGACTATTACTTAGTTATCTATTTGCTTGTACAGAATACATGAATTAAACCATACAGAGATCATATTACAGATATCAGTTCTTTTTAAAAGATATATTTATATTCTTTTTAAAGAATCAAGTGAAGTTAGGTCTTTCTGTTAATATTTAAATTTAGGTTCATATTAGGTACCATGATCCCTAATAGATATAAAGAAGATAAAAAAATTAGATGTACAGGTAATTTGTATTTAGGTCAGATCAGGCCTGCTATCAGTAACATGTAACAAAATACAAGTGCTGCATGGACAGGTAGTTTTCTGCTGGTGTGGAGGGTGGCATGTCACCCCCACAGGATGAAAAACAAGACTTGTTTAAAGGGTAGATAAGCTTCTTTATAGGAGCCAATGGCCAACACACACATATATATATTTCGCTGATACCCCCTGATGAATGAATGAACGAATCCAGTTACGAATATATATATATATGTATATATATATATATATTGGGTGCGATGGGTAAATTTTTAATTTTGTTCATGTCTATTGTTTGTTTTTGATTTTGTTGACTGTACAGTAGAGCAGGGTCAGTTGGGCACCATCTGTGAGAAAAAGAGCACAACGATGCAATTCACTATGACAGAAATTTGGAATCGGCATGCATATCTGCTCAATGTGTATCCAAATGTCCATTTTATAATGTGTGACGTCATATGAATGTACGTGAGAAAATCATGGAAATTGTAGTTTAAAAACAGTAAAATCGACCTTGCTAACCAGAACGTTCCTCTGTGGTGAAATCAGTAAAAGCACATCAGGCTATATGACGGTTCGCATAGGATACAGGTTCGATTCCTGTCAGAGGATGCATATTTTCTATGAAAACTTCTTGGACATTCAGGTCGGTAAATGTTGTTAATACTGTTTATTATAAACAGAGCATTTACTTAAATATTTGTATCTATAAAAAAAAGTATTAATGTATAAACATAAAAATGTCTTAAAATAATTGTTAGACTTTGTCCATTTTTATTATATATATATATATATATATATATATATATATATTCAGTTGTATGGATATGAGTTTATGACCTTGGGTATTAAAAAAATGCAATCATCAGACAAGCTGTTTTTTTTTTTAATTGGATCTATTTATGCTTGCTTGACTATGTTTAGTGGTGGAAGGCGGGGGGGGGGGATTTAAACATCCCAAACAAACACAGAAGTAAATTCACCTTCCCACCACCAAACAGTCAAACAAGCATAAATAGATCAAATTTTAAAAAATAAACCAGTCTCTCTGATGATCACAAAAAAAAAGGAACCCAGGGTCATTCAACTCATATCCATACAACTGAATATGCTTGCTCTATCACCGATATTATCAAACTTTCCACTAAGTTAAATTTGATTCATATATATTTTTTTATATATATATATATATATATATATATATATATATATATTTATATATATATAGGATTAATACAAAATAAAATTTATCACTTCGCTGATTGATTTTATATTCCAAATCTCAACTCCAGAATTTTGTTTGTAGATGGACACTCCAGCAATCACTCCGTCCAGTCCTCAAGAGTTAGCACCAATTGACTACTTATTTTCTTGTTTTTGTTATATTTATATTAAGTTAAAAAATAATTTATGCACTTTTTATTGGTGTAAGGTTGATTTTTTTTCCTCTTTTATTGTGTGCACAGATGCTTGTGCATACATCTGTGTGAATGTGTGTATGTATATATATATATATATATATGGAGAGAGAGAGAGAAAATTCACTTACATAAATTGTGGTGACAGTTAAGTGTTTCTTTGTACTGGAAGATCCTCGCCAAGCTTTACTTGGGCACCAAGATTCAACCTGGAAATGACAGTGTTTATTTAAATTTTAGTAAGACACTGAACAAATTAAAATTATATATAAATATATAACTGAATCATTTCCCAGCTATTTTGCTACTTTATTTCACAATTCTTTTAATTCTAAGTTATATACTTTTGTCAAAAGATAAACATAAATTTTGTTTGTTTTGCTTTGACTTAATTTTCCAATCTCAAGCTCCAAATCAATATTTTAATATCTTTATATATTTATTTATTAAACATACTACTATGCAATATCCATTTTTCTACCATCCTATGTAAAACAGGAATTCAAAGCAAATCTATCAAATTTCAGTTACCTTACACGGTTTTTATTATATCTTTTTATTAAAATCTGATAATTTTATGCCTAGCAATTTCTCAAGTTTGAGCCTTATTTCATGCTTAAAATATAATCTTCATGAGAGTGAAAAATTTCAGTTATTTTCTGTTAGTTGACTGTGAGCTACTGAAAACCGAGAAATTGAAAATGCCGATAAGGGGAGACAACTGAATATTATCTTCAAAGCCACAATTTTAGTGAACTAAAGGAAGATTCTATTAAATTGTTTGTATTTCTTTTATTTATTAGCATCGGATAATTTTACCTGAGAATGGTCATGCTTAGCTATTTGCCAAATTTGAGCCCTTTTTTCATGATTATATATGAGAGAAATTTCAGTTATTTTCTGTAAGTTGGTTTGAGAGTAACATTAAGTTACAGGGGGTAATAACAGTTTGAAGGTCTTTATTAGTGATATTATCTTAAGGTGAGGTAATATGTGCTTGGGAAAATTTTACTTTTAGTTTACAGTTTTGTAGTCATTCCCATGTAAAAACTAATTCTTTACGTGTGGTAAGAATAAATTCAAATTTCAATGTACAAGGATCAGGGATTTATTACAAAACAAAATTTATCTATATATAAAATTCTGTGATTTCTGTTAGTCTGTCCATCTGTTTATCACACCCTCTTAAATAGCCATATGTTAAATGATTGAAATCAAATTTTGGAGAAAAGTGCAAACAAGTAAGCAGGTACAAAGTACAGTTTGTTTTACTAAGGTTAGTACAATAAATTTTTATTAGATTTTATTATTTAACATACAAAATACTCCCACTATTTTAAAAACAATTTGATGATTAAAGTAACAAATACTTATTTAATAAAAAATGCAAAATTGTTTGTTTTTTTTTGCATATCTTTTAAGTTTTTATATATATTTAATTCTGGTAAAATATAATGCACTCTAAATATAAACAGAGCAGAGAGAGTAGAGTTTGTAAATCTTGACAAAAAAATGTTAGCAATAAATTCAATAATACTCAAATTGCAAGGATTTCAAATAAGTTTGTCTTTAAAAAAAAAGAAAAGAAAAAAGGCCTGAATCTTGCTTCAAGCTTAAAATATGCTTAAGTTTTTAACTAATCTGAGCTTTTTGATGGTTCTAAGCTTCATGATAATAATAATAAAAAAAAAACTGTGTATTATCAGATTTTATCACATTCAAAATATGGATCAACTATTAAAACAATTCATAAAAATGTAGAAACAATTAATGTGTCATTTATAAACTTAACACTGCATTTATTGTTTCTTTTATCCTCCACAAATACTTAAATGTGAAATGCTTAAAAGAGTATATATTGTATCTGTTATAAAATAAAATAAGACATATCTCGGCTGATTTACAGGCAAATACTCAAGAGCGAGAACTGGATGTGAACGGGACAAAGCCCCGTCACAAAATGACCATTATCTTTCTTCACAAATGTTTCCGACACATGTGTTCGGTCGAAAAATAAAATAATATTTAAAGTGTTCTATTTTTTCGTCCAATAAAATGCTTCCCTCCTAATTATACTTGCTTCATTTTTCGAGCCTGTTAAGCCATAAAAAAACTATATAAAAGGGTCACAGGGAAGTTCAACAGGCAGTCAACAGGTGGCCAGGAAAGGAGACCGGTCACGTTCAGCAGCTGTCAGCAGGAGAGCACCAACCACCGTCAACATGTGAAACTACTATGAGAGATCGACCAGATCCGAAAACCGGCTTATGAACTTTACCACAAGGTAGCTGTCCCAAACCCTCACGTTCCTGTTGAAATAAACCACGTAAATCTATTTCTGCTGTTGTCATATTTCTTTCTTGCAACCATACGCTTGTCTATAACATATCCAATTAAACAAACTTTCTGGTGATTTAAAATAAAAATGTTGTTCTTTACAAACTCATTAACTTCAGATTAATAAATGACCCAACCCAATCATAACAATTATACAAATTAAGACTTTCAAATACTGACTCACACAGGCAGATACCCTGGGATGAGAACATTGTTCCCATTTCAAAAGGACTCACCTCACTTAGGTACATCAGAAAAGAGCATTCAGTACCATCGACCCCATACAGTTTGTAGCAAGAATGTGTTCTCCACATTTTACGCATCCACTGAAAATAAAAATCAAAGAATTAGAACAGCTTGGAACAGCTTATATGTAACTTTTTTTCATTAAATTTCACAGGTAGAATTATTCTATATGATTTATAAGCTTTTTTTTTTAAATTTGATGTTCACTCAGTACAAGGTCTGGGAGCTACTCAAAACAGATGGTTACAGAGTAAGAGGCATAGTTTATGTGGATATGTGGGGGATTGACTGATTGGTTGGTTATTCCACCGTCATATCAACCACTATGGATCATTAATGCTGAAAAGGTTGGTTAGTTGATTTGTTCAGCAGCATGACAATCTTCATTAGCCACTGTGCCAAAATCCAAATATTTTGTATGCAAATTTATGGCTTCATGGATATATGGGGAAGATCAATATATCTGGCAAGGTGACTCTTAGTCATGAAGAACTAGTGGAACTAAGGAATGTAGCAATAGAATAGCAAGAAGCTAGTGATTTCTTTCAAAATGGATATTTAAACTGTCTAAAAGTGAGATGATAAAAAGTTGCCCCAAACTATATTTTTCAAGCTTTTAATTTAATATGAAGTAATTTGCCATCTAAATTTTAAGTCATTACAAATTCCAAATGAAAATTCATTTCAGCTGAAATATTTCCAGACATGAATTATAGGATTTACCGAGGACAAGTGAATCTTTGTTCTTATCTAAAGCAGTTTTTTTTATTTGTGATTCTAAACTTCAAAAGAAACTATGTCAACAAAACTTATGTATATATACATGATAAAACTATAGTTTTAAGGTATGCTATATTTATGGATAAAAGTGCCCAATATCAATATAATATGAATTATGTAAATATAAAAGTGGACATTGAGGTCAACACCCAGCGATGACAGTCAGACCCGATGATTATATTTAAGCATGTAAAAGACTGTCGCCGCTGGGTGTTGACATCAACGTCCACATTATATATATGAGATAGATTAGATGTATAGATATACATATGTATTAATTCTAGTTGAGCATCCAGATAATTTTCTGAGTAGTTATTTTAATTTCTTTTATTGTTTCTTTTTAACTCTTGTTTATGACAAATGTTGCACATTTCTCAGAGTCTTATACTCACATCATATTCTGTATGATTACTAAAGTTAAGCAACATAGAGTCTAGATGAGTGACCACTTTGGAATACAAGGTGCTGTATGCTTGGAAGTGCAGGTGGTGTAATGGCTCATGCCCAATTCCTGTTGGGTTTGTTATATTCACTTACATGCAAGTGCCTCTCTCCCCTCAGCTATGGGTTAATTAGTATCACTGAACCATTATTATCTCCCCAAAATTCTTACAATTTAAAAATATTTTCTGGCTTTAAATAACCTGGTTGATAAGCTGTAGAGAACGAATCAACCTTTTCTCAGTGCCAAATTCCATTCTTATGTCTAGTTTGATTATTTGTAAGAGGGTTTTCAAGTTTTTTATATTATTATTTTCCAGTTTTCTTGATTTGCCATTTGGTACAATGATTTACCCAGTCTTTTAGTTGACACTTAAAATAAAAATGGTTTCTCTTTCAAAATTATTGAGCATATTAGATTGAGTATCTTTCTGAGAATGTGAATGGTGATCATGAACAGAATCTTTTGTATCTCAAATAATGAGAGGTTTCTTATATATCAGTATTCATTTTTAATAATTCCTAGTGCTCCTATTATTACTGGAATAGTAGTTGTGTAGAGTAATGGATAGCAGCTTGGATTGGGGAATTGGAGAGCCGAGTTCAAATTCCAGTTGAATCCATTACATTCACTTAGGTGCTGATACCCTTGGAACTGGTATGAATCCTCTTCTTTCCCCAGCTATTGGTAAATAGCAAGACAGATTAGGTTCTATAGCCTTGGATAGCAACTGGTCTACTGCAGAAAGAAATGGCAACCTACTGGTGGAAAAAATCTGCCTCGTCTATCATGTATCGAAAGATACACGATCGCCTAAGCGTGTATCACACATGGCACATAACTGACTGAATTGTATTTAAATACCACATTATTGCACAATTTCTATTTCTAGATCCTTATATTTTTTAAATTTGTCAAGATGTTTTTATCAGACCATATGTCTTGATTTATTTAGTATTTATTATTACTATTATTATTACTACTATTATTATGATTAATATTAGTAGCTCTACTACTTCATCATGCATTAACATATTCATGATAGATGTCTTGTAGTTATTGCTGGACACTGTATGTTAGCAAATCCCCTCAAATATTTAGCATCTTCATCCTTCATAAATATAATTACAGGTTTCAACATTGCTGTGGTTTAAACATTCAATTCTTACTCAATTTTATAATTCATTTTAAATCAGAATGAGTCCTGGATATAATAATATGCTACATCCAGCAGCAAGGCCTTTGATTGGGAGATTAGAAATTTTGAGGAGCATCTTCCCGAGTCCGCTCTGAACTATGAGCAAATAGTGTATCCTCCAAACAAAAACAAACTACTATGAAAGCATAAAAATACATTTTATAGTAAAAATACCAGCAATACATTTTTATATAATCAACAGTACATTTTAATAGCAAAATGACCAACAGAACAATTTAATAGCAAAATGACCAACAGAACAATTTAATAGCAAAATGACCAACAATACATTTTAATAGCAAAATGACCAACAATACATTTTATCTGTAGTTGATCTTTTATCTGTAGTTGAAGCCTTAAAATTGTGTTCAAAATATTTAGATTTTGGCATTAAATAACCCACTGAGATTGATATGCTACAAAACAAAAATCAATCAAACCAACCGATTAAATCAGAATGGTTGCAACACTTCTTACAGTATAAATTGGTAACAATTATTATTATTACCACCACCACCACCTAGTGAGAGAGCAGCAGGCCAACAAAGTGATGCTGGGGTTCAAATATACAAAGCTAATATACCCATAATGATACCCAGTTGGATAAGGGTATATCAGGCACATGCATCAGCGTCAAAGATGGCGAGAGGTTTTGATAAAAGCACTGTATCACTTAGCTGTTGAGGTTCAATTAGAAATACCTTCATCTCAGGTAATTCAGTTGGCCTCTGATTGAGAGTGTTCCCAAATATCAAGATGTGTCTCCCAAGTCACCCTTGGCTACCTCATTTCAAAACAAACAAACAAAAAAAACTCTTGATGTTCCCCTACTACTACTACCACCACTCATTAACAGAAATGCACTATATGTCAGTCCCAAAGGGTCATGCTTAAGTAGTTAAGTTCAGGCAACTGACAAACAAGCAAATCTGTGGTACTGAGTGGGATGTTTACAGTAGCCTATCTTAAGGCAAAATATGTACATGTTAACACCTTTAATCAGTTAAGATCAGAAGCCATGATATTTATGCCTGGTGTTGCATCAGGACATTTTATCTGCTTTATTTTTTTAATAATTATTATCATTAGTAGTAGTAGTAGTAGTAGTTGTAGTAGTAAACAAACAAGATAGCAGCACACCAGTGAAGTGATATTGGGATACAAACATTCTTCTTCTATGTGCTATGTCCCTACGTTAGAGATCATAGCTCTCCACAATTTCCTGTCCTTTGTAGCTCTTAATAAATTTTGTCTTTTTGTTATCTTCTAAACATTTTTCCACCATTGATTTACTCAAGCTCTCTAGGTAGGTCATGTGTTAAAACTGACAGGCACATACATTGCAGCCAAATGCGCACAAGATGGTGACAGTTTTTCAATAAAAGCAACACCTCACCTTGCAGATGAAGCCCAGTTAATTATTAGCAACAGTAATCATTAGAGTGAATGAAAGTGCTGATGGATTTGTTTACCAAAAATACCATGGACTAAATCTATTTAGTTGATGGTATAATTGGTAAGGTTTATGAAACAAATCCATCAACACTTTCATTCACTCTAATGGCTACTTATTCAGGGTGCGGCAGAAACACCCCCACATTTTAAAGATTGACAAAATGACCAAAGTAACTGCTATTAACAAAATTTATTTCAGTGTTTTTTTTTTTTTTTAAACAAAGGGCTATAGTTTTTATTCATTTGGTTTTAAATATGAGATCCACCAAATAGTGGCCTTTATTCGCCATACACTGTTGTAGGCAATTTTTAAAGTTTTCTATCACTCAGAAGTTCAAATGCTTTGAAGTCTTCCAGGTTGTTTTCTTTTAGTGCTGAACCTGTGGCCCTGAAATTTTCAACCAATGGCAGTATCAATTTTCTATCTGGAACAGCATCATTCAGATGTAACATGAAATGAGTATCAAAAGTTCTCTTGTGTTGCAATTACAGATTCACCAGGCTTAAAAAATGTTTCAACAGCAAATGCACGTTAGGCACCATTTCAAGCCATGATGGTAACATCATTGCCACTTGGCTAAGTCCACTAGCACCACACAAGTGACATTTTAAAACATGGGTGGTATTTCTGCCACACCCTGTATAACGACAGTAAATTCTAAAAGGCTAATAAATATAATTGTATATAAATTTTTTAAATCATCTCACTCCAAGCAATGCAACAATGCCGCTAGAATGCAGGGGGTTACAGGGAGTGAAAGAGAATGAGAAGACTGAAAGTGGGGAGGATTGAGGAAATACATAAAAGGAACAGGGTTCAATAAGACAAAAAATGGCGATTGATGCTGCATTTCAATTTTTGCAGATTGTAGTTATCAGAGAAGTTGGGAAGTGTGAGAAAAGAAACTGTTAGATTAGAAGTGGTGTTTGCATCTAGCGAGTTCAACAGTAAAATGGTGAGACCTAGTTGCCAATCTAGTAGCACACTTCAATTCATGTAGTCAGGACACCAGAGAAAAAAGCTCAGTTGCCATGAAAATATTTGTAGAACAGGCAGAGAGCAGACACATCATGTTGGTGAGAAAATGACTGAAGTTATGCCTGGTCAGGATCAATTACATTACAGACCCTTCTTTAGATTTTGTCAAGAATTTAGAGATGTACAGCAGGAGCACCAGACCAGATATGGAAACTATTCAATGCCTGGATGAATGGTAGATTTATAAATGTGCAATATGGATTGTAATTAGAAAAATTTTCTGGCATGACACAGTGAAAGAAGTAAACAAAACTCTTTTGTAAATATTAAATGATTGTATTATGAAATATAAAATGATTCTATTCATTTTTCTTTGTCATTAAAGCAGACAATAAAAAGCTGTCTATAATTGCCCATTTTTATGCAACTTGTAATGTCATAAGTATTAAACAAATATATTAAACTTTTGTTCACTCTAATGATTACACAGCAAATACTAAAAGTGTATATATATATATATATATATATATATATATATTTACTCGCCAAGGTACCCGGTGTTGCCTAGGTGTACATGGTTGCAATTGTATAACTGCACACCCCTGTCTAGAAATGTCTGCCTGTATCCCTGCTTCCATACTAAGCTACACCCCTCCTCATCTTTTTATGGTATGTCCTTCGAAAGTGTTTGATTGTTCTTAATAAAGGAATTCCATTGATAAAACCTTGTGTGGTCATTGCTCAGAGTTAAATTGTTTCAATGTTTTAGATATTAAGTAAATTTCCTATGGCCATAATAACTTTCAAATAGTATGGCACTTTTCACAAATCTAATAATCAAACAAAAACAGGGATGAAGCATCAGAGCTAGATTTAACTGCAAGTACAAACACATGAATGCCCCCTTCCTTCTTTGCATGTTTACTGTAAAACTGAGGTTAATAAGAGGTTCTTTGAGGATTTTCCCCTTTTAACTTCAATAATCCTTCTCAAACAATCTTTGCATCAAAGGTTGTTTGAATGCCAATTTAAGATGGAATCATATGAAGAAACTATTGGCTAAATGGCAAAAGCTCTACATAAACTGCGTAACATGAGCTATGTTTTGCATTAAGTGCAAAGAACATCAGCTCATCAAGTAAAAATTTTGTTCACATGTAACTTTGCCTTGGTATTTGCAAAAAGTCATACCCACCTTCAGTTTTATTGATTTTTCTGCCAAAACTGGATGGGGTAGGGACCTGGTAATTGAAAAGTTGGTCTTGTCTGTCTTGGTAAATTTGCAATGTGTGTACAATTTCATCAAAATCAGTTGAAAAATGTGGACGTGCATAAATAGCATACATACACAAAGACATCTTCTGTTTTATATATATATATATATATATATATATATATATATATATAAAAAAAAAAAAAAATGCTGAAATTTCCTTAGTACACTTGATATGTGAAAAGATATAGCAAGGAAAGTTGGTTTACTGTGACATGCCAGAAAATTTACTCCCTGTGTTTTAGTAACATTATTGCCTTGCTTGGGGTGAAATGATAAAAAAAAAAATACTTTTAATAATTATCAGCATCATCCTACGACTACACTATGTTTGGTCGAAACTCCATTGACAATCTCTTTCCACACTGTTTGGTCCTGCATTGATGTCCCCCAGATCTTCAATGTCCAACTCTGAGTTCCAAGCTATGGTGTTATAATTAAAATGTTCATCAATTAATATTTATCTGTTCTGCAGGTAGTATAACAGTTATGAGCGAGCCGAGTTCACATTCCATGCTAGTCTGTTGCATTTTCTTTCTTTGGAAAGGTATGAATGTTACTTCTCTCTCCATCTGTGTGTTAAATAGCAGAGTAGACTGGGTTCTCTAGACTTGAGTGACAACCAGAAGGAAGACGGAACACACAGACTATGAAGAAGGTGGCAGGAAACCACTATCCTTCCCAAGAATTTAAACCTGGCTCTCTGATTACTCAATCTAAGCTGCTAACTATAACTCCACTGTGCCTCTTTTCAGCTTATAATCCAGCTTCAGCTCAGGTGAATTTATTATAAGAGTGAAGAATGTATTACATGCATCTTGTAACCAAATGTATGATTGTTGGGATACAAATGTATTCCAGCCACAGAAGCAATATCATTTAGAGCAAGATAGGCTAATAGAATCCATCTATCTTCAAAGATGGTTTTGAATTTAGAGGTAACACCTTCTTCTTGCCCTACCAAAGGAACCAGCCTGCCCTACTATTTCACCTAAAACTAAAAGGAGAAAAGATAGATCCATGCTTTTTTCAAGAGCAATAGTACAAAGTGAATGCACTCTCAACAGAAATTTTCACACGACTTACCAACATAACAACATTTATAAAAAGGTATTAGCTTTTATAATTGCTTTAAGTTAATCAACTGCATATGAAAATGAAATCTATGGAAGATCATTCTTGTAAAAATATAATAAAAAACAATTTCTAAATGCTATCACAAATGTACCAAGAAGCACGTTCAGTATAAATGGTTGTTTGATCATATCAGATGGTCCTCAAATTCATTGAATTTAGCTACAATAAAAAAAATTATAAAAATGTTCCCTATTAAAAGCAGGTAAGTAATTTTAAGCAATGCTCTATCTTTAGAAATTAAACTATCTGAAAAACAAAAATGGATGAAATCCAATATCATTTTCATAGATCATAGCTTGACTTCACAAGCAAAGATCCTGAAGGGTTTTCTATGATGCTTGCAAGAGGCAAGTGAATATCCTCAAGCCTGAATTAGAAGTTTAAAGGTGAAGAGACGCGTGTGTATTATCAACTCCACCCTTTAAACCAGGGTTTTACATGCCATGAACAATTAGCAATAATGTCCTGTGATTGTTTCTTTTTATGTTGTCGGAATTTCCTTCAAACCAGATTCTTGAGCTTCTTCAAAAATGTCTTACATGAAATCAGAAAAGTAAAAGCAGTAAACCTTTTTTTTTTTTGATTATTTTAATTACATTTCTGACTCAATCTCAAATGTTATTAGGCAGAAATAAATTACACAATCTGTTATAATGTATATTTGTTTCTGTCATCACTACTTGCTGACAAAAGTTTTATGTACAATACCACAATTGTTCAGTGAATTCAAAGGCTAAGTATATAGTTTGAGCTGTTCATTGAAGTAAAAAAACCTTAAACATGCATTAATTTAAAAACAAAAGATATTTAATACTTACTTGGAGTTTACCCACACAAAATGGATGTGTAATTTTGTCATTTGTGGTTAAAATACAGCTTTCGACTTTTCCCATCAAAATATCTTAAAGTAGAAATAAATATACAATTAAATGTAAAAGAAAGCATCTATTCCAGATGGAAACAATCACCAACAAGTTTAGTTAATTCATGTTACTTTACAGTTCATACAACTATGATAGCACAACATATAATATACACTTGGTTCTTCAAGAGACTAATATGGTGTATAAAACAGGACCATAAAGGTTATGGTTGTTGAAGACCATTGAAATTAAAGGATAACTCTTCTTAGTTTTTATGTTCTCACTATAAGACTTTAATAAAAATGCATCAACACTTACTGTAATTCCTTATATATAAGAGACACATTTCAATTTCATTAGCTAAACCAACAGTGTCACCATATGTGCATTTATATTTAAATAATATCCTGAAGTTTCCCTGCTTCAGTATTAGTTGTTTACTGAAGGCCTAAATGATTTGGACACTTAATAAAGAAGGAGCCTGATTATCCTACAAGTGGCATCTTTGACCTAAATCTTAGGAAGACTATCAAGGTGGTCAGGTGTAGGGTTGACCTGGGATTACTCCTGGATGCTGAAAGCAAAAATCACATGACCTCACAACTGCATCCAGTTTTGGAAACAGGAGAACAACAAGCATGGAAGACAGGCATAAATAACCATTGCAGAAAGAAGTGGGGCAGTCTCTCATACATCACAGATGAGAATGAAAGGATGTTCACTTGAGGGTTCTATGGAGCTGCAATCACACTGCTTGTTGTGAGTAATTGTTGGTCAAGAGTTAAATAAAATGTAATGTTAAATATAAAAAAATTCAGGTCTCATGTTATTCATCAAATTCATACATGTTATCATTGGTTTGCACTCACACTTCATTACATTACTTGCTGTTGACATATATATATACATTTTGAAGACACTATGAAATATAAGTTTCTAGTACTTGTATTATAAACTAACTAGTGCTTAGTGCTATTTTCAAACCAACATAGTTATATAGTAGCATACAATATGACCGGTTTTGTTTTGTGTGTCTGGTTGGAAGGAAAGTTATTGCAGGTTTTAAATAAATTTAATGTTTCACAAACTGTGAGAAGTTTCCTTCCAACCAGATATATTGTGTGCTAGGGATGTTGTTTATCTCAGTCTGTACTGCAGAGTATTCGATCAAAACCAAAATGACCATGCCCATAAGAAACTGCTAATAGTGTCATTTATTTCCAGTAAATAGCAATTTGCGATTTTTCCTAAAGTGGACCAGCACATCCAGGCAACAATTAAAGTGTTAACAGGAACTAGTGATTAAAAAATGTATCAGTGACAGTTATAAATAAATTATAATGTTAAAATTAATTGCATTCTGCTTTTTATATTACTTGCTATTACAGAATTTCATGTCTACTTTTTTTACTCTACTGTTCCTTGTCCTATACGATATATTCAACATTAAATAATCTCATAGAGGTTGGTATGTTGTTAACGAACCTAACCAAAATGTCAATTCAGTTTGGTTTGTAAATTATCTCTACTTTCTAATAGGTGCATAGTCAAGTGGTCAGAAAATTTATGTTCTGACCACGAGACCTGAGATCAAATCTCATCATAGTCGGTTTGTTAGGTGACTTCTTGATGTTATTAATCAGGTGAAATGATCCCAGTGTGCTACACAGAAAGTACCTGAAAACTATACCACAGGTTGGCCCAACATTGTGAGTGAAATCAAGTAGATGATATTGTTCAGAAGCTGTTTATGGTTGGTGTAGTTTGCATTCACTTGTTAGAGAATCAATTTCATTGACTTTTTCATTAGTGCTTTGATGTTCACTTTGGCAACAACAAAATCTCTTCTTTCCTCTTCTCTATCTATTGTGCTCTTACCATTTGTCCATTGCAAAAAACCCACACATGACTATGTGATGATTGTAGGATCTCAAGCAATTGCCCCTTCTCCCCATCAGTAATGTGATTTTTATATTCTTTTCAATGGTTGGAAATTTGCATGTTACTAAAAAATTCTCGTATTTTCAAGAACATAATATTTTTAAATATTTGCTTTATGAGTGGCCATCCTTTTTTCTTTCTCTAAATTTCTTTACATTCAATGCACATTGGAAATTTTTGTGCCAGCACTAAGTCATTTTTTCTTTATTTGCTTTTTCCTACAGTTCTCCAACCACAGTTGGGTTAGCATAAAGTCACAAATTATTTTGACCGAGAGCATGAGTACGCAGGTTATGTACACCTATTGATTATATCTGATTATGCATTCTTTTCCATGAATAAGGTTCACTCAGCAGTTACAGTATAAACTACAGGTTGCTTCTGTGGATGTTGAAGAAACACAAATGTACCTGAGCAGGTGTCTACAACAGAGATCAGCTACTCACTTATAAATAAAACTTGCTTACCTTTGGCAGCCAAGGATTTTGATGGCGTATTGTTTATTGGTAAAAGCTTTTGTTTTAGAGAAGAATCCAAAAGATCTTTGTTGGCTAATGTCTGGTTTGGTATAAGAAAATCTAAGAGGCCTTCAATTCGATCAAGACGATTCAACATATTCTCCAAGAGTACTGCTATAGTTTTCTTCAAGTCTGGAAGGATAGAAAATAATTTCAATATTCAAGTAACAGAAATAATTATAATTAATGAGATGTTACAATTTCTTACATTCATCTTTGCATTTTAAGAATATATTTCATATATTTATATGGGAGAATATGATATATAAATTTTAGATATCAGACTTATTCATGTGTTGTGTCACCTCAGGATGTAGGCAATCATAACTCTCCACAACTTCCTGTCCCTTTTAGCACTTAATAAATTTTGTCTTTCTGTTATTTCTCCAAAACCTTGTTCTGCTCAATAAGTATGTCATACGTTGTTTTCCTCAGTTTCTCTTGCCTTCAATCTGTCCCATGAGTATCAGATTTTCCAAGCCTTCTTTCCTCATTATGTGCCCTAGAAAATAGTGGGTAATTGAATGACAAAATGGAAAACATTACTATGTGATGCATTTCATCTTTCAAAATGTTTTTATTGATGGAATCATATATAGGTAGTGGGAGAGAGCTAAATAGAACAAATACCAATCATTATAAAATGAGAGAAACATTGAAAATGCAGGAATAGTTAACGTGACATAAAATTTTTAATTTATAAAAATAATTACAAAACTATGAACTATATATTTTGTAAAAAAGAAAAAAAACTTTTTTATACTTAAATAGTAACTTATACATTTTTCTTTTGTTTAATTGGTTTAGAAAGAACTAGCAGTAGAGCCCGGCGTTGCCCGGGGATGTAACAATAAGAGATAGATCAAGTATCAACCATCATAAAGACTGAAAAATAAAATTGACAAAGATTATTGTTTAAGGTTGACGGACACGCATATCTTAATTAGTATTTTTTTTTTTACGAATTGGTCAAACCCAAACTCAAGCAAAAACATTGTTTTCAATTGTTATGAGTCTACTGATTGAATAGAATTTTATTATAAACAATTGTCTTGTAAATTGAATTTTAAAGCATTCTGAATGTAAAAATAAAGAAAAAAGTGTGCAAGACAATAAGAAACACTACCTGCCAAAAAAAAAAAGTTTTGTTGAAATCGGTTGAAAATGTAAGAAATCCGATCCCATATATAAACGAACACACACACACACACACAAACAACCTGGGTTTTATAATAAGTATAACTCGATATGAGTTGTCCCCCTTTCATTCTCACAATGCCTCTTAATCGTGTTTTCAAATTGATTTCGTGCAAAAACAATTATGTTTTTCCAATTTTGGGCGCTGTTAGACCCACCGTAAGGTAATTTTACGTAGTCCTGTGAAGTTTTGTTGAAATCGGTTGAAAAATGTAGGAAATCCGATCCAATATATAAACGTACAGACACACACACACAAACTGCGTTTTATAATAAGTAAGATTTAGTGTTCATTCTCTGACTTTTGTATATTTGTGCTATAATTTGCTTGGATTGACAAATGAAATAATTTTATAAAGATAATGTTTTATTAAATTATCCAAGTACTCTACATTGGTCTAAAAATACAATAGATATTGGAGGTTTCCAAACTGGCCCAGAGCTGGCACCACAAGATCTTGTAGTGCTCAGCAACTTGAATTATTCACAAACTAATAGAATACTTTTCTCATCAGCAGTTAATTGATTATTTTGTCAAAGCATTTGCTAATGCTTGATATTTTTATTCATTATATATAATTTCAGTGTAAGCACTGGATTGTTTCTTTGTCACATTTCTCTTTTGTTCTGAATCATTAAAAAAAATATTCAAATAAAACTTATTTATCAAATAAAATTGTTTCTTTTTCTTTTTGTAAAAAAAAATACCATAAAAAACGTCTAAAATATACCCTGTGGCCTTTCTACTGAAAAGTTTGCAAACCATTGTCTTAGATAAAGAAGTATGTTAAAAAGAAATAAAAATCCTATAAGCATAGTGTTATGTACTGTGATTTCTTTTGTATTTTATTAGTACAGTCAAGAGTAATATTTATTCTGCTATGTACAGAAATGTGGCACAAGGCCAAAATGGGGAAAAGGAGGGTCTTCTTCTGTCATAATGTTAAACTTAGCTAGCCACAAACACTGACCCAAACATACAATAATATTCCTTACACCAAAACAATACATTTTTACTTACTTTTCTTACTACATCCACCATAATACCTCATTGTCTCTATGAAAGTCCTAACTAACCCCATATGTACAATTCATTGTGTGGGGGGAGGGGGAACAAAATAAGAATTTAAAAACTAACCCCAATGAGTATTTACAATATGAAAACAAAACTATTTACAAGAAACTAAACAAAATAATGTTAGTAAAAAAACCCTCCCACAATCCTTAAATGTGACAGAAATATCAGTTAACTGGATGAAATCAATGCGAGACTAAAATAATATAAAACATTTATTTATCACAAGCACTTGTACAAACATACACTCATTCAGACACAACAACAAATACAAAAAACACATCCAAAATGAAAGTCAAGAGCTGCTCTACCCTTACTGCTTGGGCATTTATATAATCTATACCTTAGCTATGCTAATTAGGCAGTCATTTACATGTAACTACATATATAGCAAACAAAACTTATTTACACTATATTTGGACTATTGTCCTCAATATTGTTGCTATCACAACGTTTCAGCTATTGGACCCTCTGGCCTTCCTCAGGTGTATATCGATCTGGGTAACCTAAGGGAATTCTGAACTGAACGCTTTATTTAATTTATAGAGATAAACTGTTCTTGTTCCATTGCCAATGTCTAGCAGATTAAAGTGTTGGTTTGTGAATTTAGTGATATAGTGTTTGTGAGTTCAATTCCTGGATCTGGCAGTGTATACCTGCACTCAGAGAAAACAGGCAATCAATAATCCATTATAAATAGCACAAATAAGTCCTCATCCTAAAAATTCAGACAGAAATTAAACAAAACTTAGTTATAAGTGAACAGAACAGGAAAATGGTTTTACAAGGACCTGGAAAAAGGTTATTTAAGTCAAATTATGTAGCAGACACTATCACTATACTCTTACTTTTTTAAATGCCATGTCCCTTCAGGACATTGGTAATCTTGCCTCTCAACAGCTTCCATTTTTTAATATCTGTGAACTGCCATAACTTCTGTGGAAAGACAGTTGAGCATTTTCCTGTTGTTTTCTCCACAGTTTTGAATTTCTTTACATTCTTTCTCCTAGAATAGCTATCAACCAAAGCTACAGAGTCCAGTCTATTTTATTATTTAACTCATAGCTGGAGGAGTAAGAAATAGATTCAGGCCTTTTTCAAGGGCATTAGCAAACAGAGTAGACTGGGCCAGAAATTGAACTCTGGCTCACCAATTACACTTTCTGTATTGGTAACTGTTATGCCACTGTTATATTCTGTGCTTGAAGAGAAAAGTAAAAATAAAATTTACTACCCAGCACAGGTAGTGAACTCACAACCTTCAGTCAACCAACTAGAAACTTTAGCTTTTAATGGAGATGTCACCCCTGTTGACAGAAATTAGATCACTCAGTGGAGCTCTATAGAAGCCAATGATTTTTCTCTCTAGTGAGTTTTTGGTCTGTTGCCTGGAGAAACTTTGTTACTCAGCTTTAAATCCCCCCCCACCCAGGATTATTGCCAGTTGGTCAACTGCCAAGAAAGCCAGGTGAAAAGTAGAAGAGAAGAAAAAAAGAAATCTAGGAACTCAAAACCAAACAAAGACTATTACTTCATTTAAACTACATATCCTTTTACTACAAGTTATAAGCTTATACAATAACAGAACAGAAAATTAAAATCTGAATATATATATATATATATATATATATATATATATATATATATATACACACACACACACACATTATGAAATGGACAAAGTCCAACAATTATTTAAGACATTTTTTTATTTTTATACATTCTTTTTATAGATACAAATATTTAAGTAAATGCTCTGTTTATAATAAACAGTATTAACATTTACTGGCCTGAATGTCCGAGAAATTTTCATAAAAAATATGCGTCCTCCGACAGGAATTGAACCTGTATCCTATACAGAACCACAGAGGAGCGGTCAGTTAGCAAGGTCGATTTTACTGTTTTGATATATGATGGTTCCGTCTAGGATACAGGTTTGATTCCTGTCAGAGGATGCATATTTTCTATGAAAATTTCTCGAGCATTCAGGCCAATAAATGTTGTTAATACTGTTTATTATAAACAGAGCATTTACTTAAATATTTGTATCTATAAAAAGAACGTATAAACATAAAAAAATGTCTTAAATAATTGTCGGACTTTGTTCATTTTATAATGTATGATGTCATTTGTTTACATTTAGATACACATTGAGCAGGTATGAATGAATGAGAGAAAATCATGGAGAATTTTAGTTTAAAAACAGTAAAATCAACCTTGCTAACTGAACGCTCCTCTGTAGCCCAATCAGTTAATGCACGTCAGGCTATTTGACGGTTTTGTATAGGATACAGGTTTGATTCCTGTCGGAGGACGCATATTTTGTATGAAAATTTCTAGGACACTCAGGCCGGTAAATGTTAATATTGTTTATTATAAACAGAATTTACTTAAATATTTGTATCTATAAAAAGAATGTATAACCATAAAAAATGTCTTAAATATATATGTATATATGATGGCTTCAACTTGATTTCTAGTAATGCCATCACCTGATCCATTCTCAAACATAGGCAGCATGGATATGGCTTTTTAGTCCTGCTATGTTCTTACATTCTCTTGTACAGAAATGGTAACGTTGGGCATCTTTTGCACTAATGTGTATTTCTATTTGAGTAAATGAATGATGGAACACATCTTTGTGATATATTTCATTTTAAGATAGAATGTCTTCAAACAAATAAATGATTTTATTATGGGATAAAAGTTTGCAGAGAAATACAATACTGGCTACAGCTTACATCAAAACATTAAAATATAGAGGCATTCAACATTTAAATTAAAATCTTGACAACAAATGTACCTAGATATTAAACTTAGCCTAACTCAATAAGCTTTTATTTCTATTGTAACTGTTTCA